GTAACTGAGTTGTTCAACTGAGTTAGAGAGTATGAGTTTCAGATTGCCCATTGGTTTTGTCACTAGGGTTTAAGCCTTGGTGTTGTCATCTGTAAAATGGGGATAAAAATATCTTGCGGAGTTGCTGTGAAGATTTAAAGATGATGATGGATAGCAATAGCAGCTAAATAGACCATTTAGTTTCATCCTCACCATGACAAGGCAAGTATGATTATCATCCCTGTTTACAGATGTAGACACTGAGGGACAGAGAGGTTAAGCTCTCTGCCCTAAGTCACACAGCCCATAAATGGTGGCACTGATTCATTTCTTCCAGGCAGTCTGAATCCAGAGCCCATGCTTCTCTGACTGTTCAAATCTACCTTTCAAAGCCTCCTGGTTTATTACCACCCCACCCCTCCTCTTGTTCGTGTTCCTCCTTCAGGAAGCTTCCTTCCCCTTTTCTCTCCCGGTGGCTCAGCTTGCAGTGACTCACCTACTATCTTTGTTTGAAAAATTGAGGTGAAATTCACATAACACAAAATTAACCATTTTAAAGTGTCCAGTTCAGTGACATTTAGTGCATTCACAATGTGGTGCAACCACCAACTCTACCTAGTTTCAATTTTTTCATTACCCAAAAGGAAATCCAGGACCTATTAGCAATCACTCTCCATTCCCCCTTCTGGCTTCTGGCAACTACTAGTGGGCTTTCTGTGTCTATGGATTTCCCTATTCTAGAGATTTCATATAAATGGAATTGCCAGGTGTGGGCTTCTGTGTTTGAGTTCTTTCATTTAACATAATGTATTTGAGCTTCATCCACATTGTAGCGTGTATCAGTGTTTCATTCCTTTTTATGGCTGAATAGTACTCCATTGTATGGATATACCACATTTTGTTTATCCATTCATCTGCTGATGGACAATTAGGTTGTTTCTACCTTTTGGCTATTGTGAATAATGCTGCTTCGACACCCGCTGCCTTTTATGCAAACACTGCACCCTGAGTCAGTTTGGGTCTAGGGGCTGTGGCTGCTGGTGACCCCTGAGTTCTAGCCACAGGGTCGGCTCATTCATAACCCTCTTATGGCTGGGTCTCCTGAAGCCGGGAGGGAAAAGGCTGGGGGCCTTGGACAGAGAAGGGAACAGACCTTGGAACCTGATGTGCCCCTGGCACTGGGCTTAGTTCTGCATGCTTTTTCTGGTTTAATTTCTGCCCAGAGGGAAGTAGAGAGTGGAAAGGGCTGGTTTGATCTCCAGCCTGAAGCAAATCTTTTCATCTCTCTCTCCTGTGCCTGGGGCAAGGTTATACTAGCCAGGAACCTCCTCAGCTCTGTGAACTTGGGTTGTGAACTCTGACCCTCAGTGTCTTCTGTAAAGTGGGGATGATAGTTCCTATTTTACAGGGTTGCTGTGAGGATTAGATGAGATGGAGTCTGTGGAGTGCTGGCTTCTTTCCCTACAGGATGTGGAGCCCTGGCTTAGCGACCAATTTTGGAAGGGCGTGTGCAAGCAGGATGGTTTCTGTGCAATCCTTTTTGATAAACAACCACGAGTGCCTTTTTGAGTCTTCTAAGACAGGGAAGGAGCTGGGGTTATTCTCGTCACCATGTTTAGCTGTCACTGCTGGAAACTTGTCCCCAACTTCCTTTTTTGCAGTTGGTTAACTTTGGTGCTTAGTGTATGAATCTGTGGAAACTGGTTTCCTGCCATTTCACTCCCAGACACCACTGGGCTCTGAGCTGACCTTAGAAAGTTGAGCTTTCTGTTGATTGCATTCTTTTAATAAGTACTTATGAAGTGTCCCCCATGCCAGGTATCTTGTGGGATGTCATTTGCAAGGGTCCTTTTTCCTCTGGTCAGTGGAAGAGTTGGGGGGCCTAGTGGCCCTGAACTTGCATTGCATCCTGACAGGCTCAGTGACCCTGGACGACAGATCCAGATGTTTTCCCTCTTTCCCCTCATCAGCCATCCTCAGCAGGTGGGTGATTTCTCCCCTCCTTGTCACAGAGTGGCTGCAGCAGCTCCAGGCATCCTGGGCAGACCCGATAAAGTCCATCAAAGCAGGGTGGTATTTCCTCCTATGTGTTCCTCTTATTAGTGAGGAAGCTCATCCCCAGGAGCCCCCTGGCAGACTTCTCTTAGGTCTCCTTGTTTCATGTCTTAGTCTGGGTCCTGAGGCAAGGATCAAAATGTTGATGCTTTGTTTGGGGAGTCAGACTCAGTGAAGTCAAGAAGAGGGAAAAGATGGTGCAGTGAGGCCCAGAACGGTGTGAAGCCATGTGACCCAGTGTGTTAGCCCTCTGGCTGTTGTTTCACGGTGAGCCTCAAGGAGGCCCAGGCTGGTGTGTTGGTGTGGCCCATGGGGCCTCTGTGGGAGGGTTGCTAGGAGAAACGGTACCCGCATTTGTCAAAGAACGCTCTTACTTTGCTTGCTGGATTCTTTGGAGGGTAGAGAGAAGAAAGGATAATATCTTTTGAGATTAATTTTTAAACCTTCTCTAAGTTCTAGTACGTTTCTTGCCAGTTGTGTTACATTGGGAGGTAGCGGAGCCAGTGGTTAAGAGCACAGACTCTGGAGTCAGACGGCCTGGGTTCAAATCCGGGCCCCGCAGCTCACCAGCCCGCGAGGGACCTGTGCCTGCCTTTTAGGGTTGTTTTGAGGGTTACGTGAGTTAATATCTGAAAGCACTTGGAATGGTGCCTGGCAGAGTCAGCGCCTGTGCGTATCGGGTCAAATGCATCAAGAACATAGAGTCAAAGCTGGGATTTCAATCTCTGGAAACTTGCCTTTGTCTCCATGACGATGATCCTTGCACTCTCATCTCGAGAACTCAGTGCTCTTTGACACATTGTCCCATGTCATGATCATCAGCCCGTCCGTGTTTGCTGCGTCTAAGACTGTAAAGGACTCAGGCTGAAGTGCACCTACCCAGGGGCACTCTCCGTCTGTCCTCCTGTGGTTTGGTTCACCTGCCTTCCTCCCTCCCTCAGCCATGAGCCCCTCGTGTCGCGGAGGCTGTCTGCATTAGCTCTAGGTCTTTAGCATGACGCTTGGTACATGCAAACACTCGTGAATTGCTTGTTGAATGAATGTCAGTGCTTTTTACTTTGAATTACTTACACATGTCATTTCCTTTACTTTCCTGTAAACAGTTTTGGGGCGGGGCCCAGACCTTTAATGTTTTCAGATCATATGTGGATGGATGGATGAATGAATGGATTCCAATTGAGGCCACAACACGTAGATGTGCTTACAAAGAGATAATAACATTGCAAGGGGCTGGGACATGCCGTCCTAGAGTCACTAGGTTATGTAGTGTAATGTTTTCCAACTACTGGGCAAGAAAGAAAAAAGGTTTGTTCTCCTGAGCTACTTGCCTAGCAACCGACTCCTCGTTTCTCTCTCTCTCCCCTGTGGTCCATCCTGGACTACGTGCACTGATGCATAGCATAGATTGAGGGGCAGCGGGGAGGCAGGAAGATGAGCTGAGCAAGTTTAGATCTGGGATGATGAGGGCTTGCAGTAGAGTGGGGCGGTGGGGATGGAAAGTTCGAGAGTGAGGGGTGGGTAGGAAAGGAGAACCAACAGGACTTGGCCCCCAAAGCTTTTAGGGAGCGAGGAGAAAGGAGGCGGCCTGGATTCCTTTGAAGGCTGGTGCCTAGGCCACTGGGAGATGGCATGGGGAGCAGGCCTTTCCTTCTGTCTACCTGACTCATGAGATGAGAAGAAATGTCGTCCTCATCTTCTCCACTTGATAAGTGCAAGTGGCCGGAGAAGTGGGAGGAATATGGCTGGATAATCAGGCTCCAGGTATCTTTCCTTCAGTGGCACTTATTGAGTGCCTACTGTGTGCACGGGGCATAGACGAGGCTTCTGTTCTTGTGGAGTGTACATTTTGGTTGGAGGAGAGAGAGTAACTGAGGAAACTCCTGAGGAGAAAGCATATCAGTGATGCGATGGAGAGTGAGGGGCGCTAATTTCCATTGGTTAGTTGGAGAAGGGCTTGCCAAAGAGGTGGCATTTTAGGCCATGCCATGAAAGATCTGGGCGGAGTGTTTTTGAAGAAGGAAATAAATATGTAAAGACTCAAAAGGGGAAACCAGCTTTCAGAATGTTGTGAAGGGCGTGAGGAGGCAATGAGATTAGAGGGGCCGTGGAGAATGTGGCTCAGAGTTTGACTTTTATTCTAAGTGTGATGGGAAGTTGGAGGACAGTTTTTCCAGTAGAGTACCTTTTGATGATTCCCTTCATGAGGACCATACTTTGAAAAATCCCGTTAACCAAGAAGGTGTGTTTACTAAACAATAGAACACACAAACTTGGATTCTTTTAGGCTTTTAAAGTATGAGGAAAAAATTTATGGATCATGATGAATATCTTTGAGGACCCCAGGGATCTAGAGATGACAGACGTCACCTAAATAATCTTTAAGGTCCCTCTGTTTCAAACATTCATTCTTCCCAAAGCTGTGTGTCATATGATTAAAAAAAAAAAAAAAAGATTACTGCCACCTACTGATGGGAGGAAGAAGATGCATTTTTGCGCCTTGAAAATCCCAAACCCAGTGGCTGTCTTCTGTGGCACATCTGGCTGGACACTGCAGTCCTGACTTGAAGATGGCTGTGGGGAAGAGGTGGCCCGGACCTGCTCTCCTTTCTTTCTGGCCCAGAGAATCTCCACTGCTCGTGTCCTCTGCCCTTAGTTTATGATGCAGTGGCAGGAGGGGGTGCTGACCTGGGGAGCTGCCCCAGTATTGGGTGTATCTGTGGGGAAAAACAGTGGGTAGCCAGCGGCCTCCACATAACCCAGTTAACCTATTGTTTGTAATCGGCCCGCGGTTACACCGAGTTCCCCTATTCAATGTCCCCACCCCCTAACCCCAGCCAGCAGGCCTTTGCTTAATGTACTTCTTAACACCCCACTCCCATTATTAAATTCTCAGCTGCTTTATTTTTGATTTGCATTTTCCGTGGCTGAATGAATCTGCTGACTTCCGTTTTCTTTTTCTGTTACAGATTGTGTGCGCAGGTGACTGTAAGTACCGCTTCCCTCTCCTCTCTTGTGTTGTTCGCTACCGCCCCCTGATGGACACAGCGATGTTAACAGCAATATGAAAATCATAGAAAATGCCGATTTCTGAAAACTGGCCTAGTATCCAGTTTTTCTTTAGAAGTGGGGTGAGGGTGCAAATGGCAAATAAAAGAAAAAGCTCAATCAATTGCACAACTCTGACAAATAAAAGTTTTATATTTTCTGTGATTTCTTTTCCAATCTAACATCTGTGTGTGATTAAAAAAAAAAATTAGCAGTATGATTTATATTTATTTTATGTGCTGTTATCCTGTAAGTATTTTCTTGGGTTGCTATGTTGCTCCATGATTTTTAAAATGGTGTACAGGGTTTGTATAGCCTTTGGAAAACCAGGTGTAGCCTCCTGTATATTATTTTGCTTCCATGTGGAGGGCTTAGTCTTGGGAGCTAACTAGTGCTGGTCCATTGAATTCCTCCCTGGTCTATAGTAAAATGGGAAAAATAAGGATATAATAGTATGTTTTTAATGAAGGTAAATATATTCAGTTGAAAGCATTGTTTATTCTGGGATAATGTCCTTACTAATTTTTTTCATCATAATTCATTCCTATAAGAGATAAAGATAATAGTATTTGGCAGTTTTTTTTTTAAATGTACCTTTTGGAAAAAATAAAAATTGCTGGCTTTTGTCTGTCCTCAAAATTTTGGGACTTTTTCTTTTTTTCTGATTGGTAAAATCCCAAAGTGTGTGGGCATAGAAATAAAATAATTAAGATATTCTCCCAGTGCCATGTAAAGGGGGCAGACCTTGCTGAAACCATCTAATAAAGCAAATCTCACTTAATAACAGTAATTATGCAAAGTCTGTGCTAACAATGGGGAGAGTTCTGTAGCTGCTTTTTCTTCCCCGTTAATCAATTTGGTAAATAAACTGATAGGCACCTTGTGCAGGCTTGACTCACTGGTGCAAAAGAAGAAAACATCTTTGCACAGAGGTGATACTTGAAAGCAAGACAAGGGGAGATGAAGGAACTATGATACGTTTAAAAAATTATAATGAAAAATCTGTTGCATAGCCACCATATGGTGGGAAGTGTCATTTTATTAGTTTGCGAGTTTTCCTTTCCTGTATTCTCGGCTCCAACTGTGATCTGGTTACAGTGACATCTGCAGCCATCGAGGTTAAGGGGACTGAGGCCCCAGGACACTTTTCAACAGTAACTGTGACCAGTCCAAGTGGTCAGAGTCAGTGGAATTCCCAAGGAGACGGGGCCGGGAAGACTTCATCTGAGGGGCTCACTCCTGGGACGAGCTATCCAGTCAGCTTTTCAGACGCCTCTTCTACCTGCTGTCAAGTGCAAACAGGTGAGCAAGGCCTTTGTTTTGGGATGGATGGTGGTGTTTAGAGAACACAAATGTCTTCATATCTACAGCGTATTTGAAATCACTTTATCTGCGCTTCAACAGTACAAAGCTGCTACTTCTTGTATCTCTTTGCTCCCCACTCTTGGCCTTGTTTCTGGGTGTGAGGGGTGTCCTGGCTCCTCTGACAGCTGCTCTAACACTTGTCTTTCTGCCTCCTCTTTGAGCACTCCTACAATGGCATAGCCGTTAAAAGCACAGACTCAGAATCAGAGACCCAGGTTTGCTTCCTGGGTCTGTCAGTTTCTAGCTTTGTGGCCCTGGGCAAGTCATGGGTCCTCTTAGACCTCAGTTTCTTCATTTTTATTAAAAAAAAAATGCATGCATACATACACACACACATATTTTAAAAACACATTTTTAAATGTGTTTTATTTTCTGAGCTATTGACACTTAAGAACCTGCTTTTCTAAAACCGTACCAGAATCCCTGTATGAATCAACAAACTTTAGTTGTCAACATGTTTCTCCTTCTTTAAAATGGTGCCATAGCCTTCCTCATGAAGCTGTTGTGAAGCATAAATGAGGAAATGTATGCGCGGCAACTGCTGCCATGTTTGGGACATGGTCAGCCCCCAAAATCGGGCTGCTGCCCTTCATGCTGCCTCCACCACTGTCACTGTGGTTATTGCTTTATTAATATCCTCTCGCCATGATCATCATCCATTGTAAGTGGTACCATAATAACCTGCCAAAAATGCTGCTCTGACAACGTGAACTTGTCACTTTATAAAGAGGAAGCTCAAGTCTGGAGGGTCTTCCTGGCTTGACGTTTATTGGATGGTGGGCCATGAGATTCTTCCCTGCCTGCTCCTTTTTCCTCTCTCTTGTTTCCTTTCCTGCCCTTTTTCATTGATTTGGTAAATGTTTGCATCTCCCAGGTGCCAGGTAAGGCACACTCTCCATGCTGTCATTTGAAGGTCATGTGCATGCTGAGGTGGCGTTACCTGTACCATCTTTACTCTGCTGGGGTTAATCCCTAGGTCCTTGAGAAGAAAGGCCTTAATGCCCGTGCTCAGTCTTTCATTGCTAGTTGTCATTCCTCAATCTTTTTTTTTTTAAAGATTTAATTTTTTCCTTTTTCTCCCCAAAGCCCCCTGGTACATAGTTGTATATTCTTAGTTGTGGCTCCTTCTAGTTGTGGCATGTGGGACGCCACCTCAGCATGGCTTGACGAGTGGTGCCATGTCCGCGCCCAGGATTCAAACCGACGAAACACTGGGCCACCTGCAGAGGAGCGTGCGAACTTAACCGCTCGGCCACGGGGCCGGCCCCGGCATTCCTCAATCTTGAATGTAATTGGGATGCAGCCACTGTGAAGTTTTAGTTACTGTTAATAACCATAATGGCTTCCACTGTTTTAAGATCCTGAACATCTGCAATTTGACAAGTGAGGAAAGTGAGATTCAGAGAAATGAGATGACTTTGAATAACATCACATGTCTGATGACTAGCAGGATTGACGCTGAACCCAGATTTTTTTTAATGTCCAAATCCAATGACCTTGTTTACCATATCAAGCCTTAAGAATACTCCTTTCTGTTTACTATAGTGTTTTAGAGCTGTCAACAGAGGAAGCTGAGACTTAGACGCTTTAAGGGACTAATTCCAGGCCACACAGCTAAGGGGCAGAGCACGTCCTTATATCCAGGTCTGGATTCCAAGACCAGTCTTTTCTTCTTTATACTGTTCTTCACTGTCTGCTCTTCTCTTTATGCTGCCATCTCTGTGCCAGAAAACTATGGAGCTGGCTCCTGATATCAAGGTTTGGCAAAAAAGTTATCACATGCTTCTGCACCATATAACACCTCTCCACATGCAGCATTTTCTGAGAATCGGAAGATAGACTCATTTTGCATCTTAGGTCTCTTTTCATGTCAGCTTCTATGCAGATTTAACCCGTGGTCACGTCACAGCCAACATGGCCAACCTCTGTCATTTTTGTCTCTGTTTTAAAGCCTCTGTTTCCCTAACACACATGCATACATGTGGATATGCGTCTGAATGTATTTTGTTGGAGGGAAGTCCAGGAGGCAAATAAAGGGAAATGAAAGTCTATGATTGCAAATTTCACTTCCGGAAAGTAGACAGAGCAGTTCTCACTCTTACATTTCTTTTTTAAATGCAATTTTTTCTTTTCTTCTTTTCTTTGGGAAATAATATTAAAATAGAACCCAGTCCTACGTCTGTCACTGAAGCTGTTTCCATCGGTCCATCCAGTGAGACCTCAACTTGGAAAAACAACAACATAACTGCTTCTAACAATGGTGAGCTGCTTACAACAAAGAGTGAGATAGAAAACAGCCCGATGACTCTTGTTGCAAGTCCAACAGGAGATAACATCACAGATTTCAGTCCAACAACTCCACATCCACACTCTATCACTACAGAATTAGTCAGCAAGCCTACTGGAGAGCCTGCAGACAGAGCTGTTATAACAGGTAAGATGACCAGCTCCCAGGAATGGTCATGAACCATTCCTTCTCATCCTGTATCCTAGAGCCTTGTTCATTCAAGTTGCCTGTTGGAAAAATATTGGTTTTCATTAACTGTGGAAGAGGAGAAAAGATTCTGTATTGTTTCAAGCCCAGGAGTTTAGGTGGTTGGTTAAGGTCCTATGTGTTTTGAGATGTTTTAACTACTTTGAACTGTCCGGTTTTAAAAATATTTTGTTATTACTGGTTAATGCTTACTTTCTGCTAAGACTTGGGAGCAGAGACCCCCTTAGGATTGTGTCTTGATGGTGTCAATAATTAATAGGCTTCTTTTAAGCTCCCCAGGAAAGTTGATGTTGTGTTTATCTTCCCAGGAGTTTCTGTTGGGCGTGAAAGTTTGGTATACTTTATAGAGGAATGTATGTTTCAAATGAAATAAGAGCCCAGTGACATTTGATTAAGCTTAGATTTTTATTTAGCTTGGATGTCAATACCCTGAGCCACCTGTTAGAGCTGCAAATTTAGCTCTTTTTTTTTTAAGTTGAAAAGAACCAAAAATATAAAAAAGAGATGAGAAGCTCTTTTTAAGCTGAAAAGAATGAAAAATTTAAAAAAGAGGTCCTCTGTTGGTTTTCGGCTCTGGGGGTGTGATCTCATGGGCTGGTGAAGGCCGTAGAAACCTGACCTCTTGGAGCCCCTCGCTTGAAGGGACCGCCTAGCCCAGCACCTTCTGGGCATGGAGCAGGCAAAACTACACCAGTGGTTTTCAACGTTTTTTTTAAGCCAGGAAACAATTTCTTTAAACAAAATCTTGCTCAGAAGCCCAATAAGTAAAAAGAACTGGAGAGAGAGGAGCTACGGGGTTTGGGTGTCACAGGTACCTTCAAAAAACTCCTGAGCTCCTTAGAGCACAATTTTAGGGCAAAACCCTCCCCACAATAAAGGTTTGCTATATTATATTGTGAAAGAGAGAGGAAAAGAAGGAGAGGGCAGAGAGAAGACAGAAGAGAATTAAGGAGGAAAAAGAAGACTGAATTTAGAAATGGTGATGGAGACAAAGCGATACAGAATTGATGACTAAAGGAAAGAGGAGGTGGAGAGGAGGCAGGAAGCACCAGCCCAGAAGCTGAGCATCCTTCCTGCATCCTAGAGCCCCCGAGGACAAGACTGTGTTCATCAGCTACTGTTTATTGAGCATGGACTATGGACTTAGCAGTCCCAAGACATTATTTTGTCCTCACGGCAACCCTGAGGGCTACAGTGGAAGGAACTGTAATGCTGAGAAGTTAGGTTTCTTCTGAGGTCCCAGAGTTATTGAGCATCAAGTGGTGGGAACCCAGGGAGCCTGATTCCTGACCACTGTGGTACAATGATGTTCTTTAACAGTTACCTAGAGTCATTGAGCTGGCTAGTTTATTGGTGTTATGTTTCTTTAAAAAAATAAAAGACACTGGGGTGACTCATTTTAGAAATCTTTGCATCAGAAACATTCGATGCGAAGAATGGAATCACGGAGTAGATCAACTGTCTTCAGAGCTGCGTGGTGTCTTATAGTCATCTAGGCCAATGTCTTTGAATTCAGACACCTGCAGACCTCAGGCAGGGTTGTTGCTCTGTCTGCAAACACTACCTGGGCTTTGTATACTTAGACCTGGAGCCCTGGGTTCTAGTTTTCCCAATGCCACTAGCAGTGTGCGTTCTTGAGCAAGTCACCCCAGCTCTGTGTATCTCCATGTTCTCGTCTCAAGAATGAAGGGAGTGGAGGTCATTTTGTCTGAAATGGTTTGACTTCTGTCACTGACAGCCAAACAAAGTGATGGAAAGAACAGTGGGGGATCGTGTAGGTTGCAAGTCTTCTGAAAAATCCCCTTGGGTTGGAACACAGGGACGAGTTCCTTAGTTGACATGTGTTGGTACTATGAAATGATACTATTTGTATTATCTTGAATCAAGATCTTTAGATGTAGCAAACCGCCACTTTGTTTGATGCTTTGTTCCTGATGCCTAAAACAAATAAATATAATTAAATGCTGCTGTTTAAAAGCAACAATTAAGAAGACTGTCAAATCACTGTTGGGGTTAACTGTCTTGGAGAATAGTACAATCCTAAGAAATTTTGTCTTTAAGCTTTATTCTTTTTCCTCCTTTCTGCATAATTCTATATATATTTTTTCCTGCTCTGAAATGATGGAATTGCACTGGACTCTGGATATAAAGGAAGTATTTTTCGTGGGTCACATCGAAACGCTATTGACCCCAGCCATTCTTAATGAAAGGTGACTACAAATATCTTTGTGTCAATATCAACGCATACTGTGTGTTTTCACAATAGATCCTCATCCAGTGTCAGATCTGTGCGTTGCTTTCGTGGGTGTGACGCAAGTTACTCTCACCTGGAGGAATGGTAATGACACTGCCACCTGCCGGATGCTCCTTGAACTCACTGGCAGCCCTAAAGAGATGACTCAAGACTTAGCAGTCAATATTTCAGACCTGAAGCCAGGGATTCAATACAAGGTCACCTTGTATTTTCCAGAATCAAATGAGGCACAGAGAGACCTCCTGGTTACAGAAAGTAGCTTGGGTGAGTTACAAAAGTGTGCTTCTCTTCCGCCTTGTGGTTTTAACTTTCAGTAACTTAACATTTAAAAAAAAATTGTTCTTATATATATATATATATAAATTCTAACACTCTCTCTCTCTCTCTATATATATATAGAGTGTTAGAATTTATATGAAATTTATAGTTTGACTCCATACCTTTTTGACGAAGGAGGGAAACGTGTTCTTCTTTCACAATCTCCAAACTGGGGCTCAGACTGGCTGTGTGGGTTGAAATTGTTGGAGCCTGGCATCTAGGAAAGTAGCTGGCCCCTGTAGCTTTTTAAAAAATTTCAGTTGAACAAATAACAGATGGGTTAACCCAGGTAGGGTACTGGAGGAGCTTATTATCCATTGAGAAAAGGGATGCTTTGCAGGCAAATCCAGCAGACGTCTTCTGCACTGATAGTGGAGTAGTCACTTGCAGATTTCATAGCATTTTTGGGGGTAACTGTGAATTGAGGACAAGTGCTTAATCCCCATTTTACACGTAGGAAACAGAACTACAAAGTGATGTTAGGATTCTTGATCGCAGGTGGCAGAAACCAGACTTAAAATAGCTTGCACCAAAAGAGCAACTTATTGGCTTGTGTGTATTTCCCCACTAAGGGCAGCAAGGCCTTGAAGGAAGAGACGAGGTGGCTCTCATCTCTTCTTCCTGCTTCTTTCTTTTTCTCAGCTTCGTTCTCAGAGTGGCTCCCTCTGCACAACTCAAGGGGAAATGGCCACCATTTTCTATCAACAGGAGCATGGTCCAGGGGAAAGATTCCTTGAGTGGGCTCTGATTAGCTAAATTTGAATCATGTGGCTGTCCCCAGAAGACCACATTTGGAGTTGGGTGGGAGCAGATGATTTCCCGAAAGAAGGGGGAGAGATGCAAATAGCTGAGTCTGAAAGAGAAGCACAAATATCTGTGATGCTGCCTGAAATAAACATACGAAGTGGAATGATCCAGGAGGGCGCATCTCTGTTTGGGGGAGGGAGGGAACAGATATTTGTGGAGTCCAACTGTGGGTACTGTCTGACGCGTCATCTTATGCGGGTGATGGCAGAGGTGTTGAAAGCACACAGGGATGTTCCTCTGTTGCAGTTAATGGCTTTGCCTTTGGTGTTTGAAACAGGTACCAACACCGCAGACAGCTACCCTCAGCCACCCAGAAGCCCCAGTGCCCCTGTGATCAACGATCACCCAGAATCTTCAAACTCATCCTCTGATGGTCGTGTGACCCGAGACACGGAAGTCCTGCTTTTGGGGTTAAAGTCTGACACACAATACAACGCCACTGTTTATTGTCGAGCAGAAGGTGGCACTGAGGGACAGCCCCAGACCATCAAATTCAAGACAAGTATGTTGACTTTCGTGAAATGGCTTTAGCCAGAGCTTTCCAGCACAAAGTTTTGTCTTCTGTGATTCCGGTTCTGAGTTAGTTCTTGCTTCACAAGTAGTTTTGTTGTCAGAGGGAGTTTTCTGGAAGAGATTTTGGACGCAGCAGATACAGTGAGTCTCTTCTTAACTCTGTAGTCAAGACGCTTCTTTCACTCAGCTCAATAAGACATATTGAGCAGGTACTCTGTGCAGACGCTAGGCGCTGCCTTTGTCTGTCTTTCGTATCTCTGCATACTAGCCGGTGAGACAATACAACTTCCAGCAATGTGTAATGTTTTTCTTTTATAAACAGAGATTTATTTTGTCAACGTTGCTTAAGTATTTTCCCTTTGAGATAAGAAAATGAGTTTTCTTTTTTGCCTTACCTTGGAATGCATACTGATCTTTCTATTGAAACTTGTGGACATGCGCACTGTTGCTTTCTATGTATAATTTGTTAGCACTCCCACCCTGTAAGTAGACCAATATATGGAGGCTTTTTGGCTGGGTGCTGGTGAGGAGGTAGAGCAGTGCACACTTCCTGCCCTCAGGGCATTTCAGTATAGATGGGAGATTGAGACAGACATACGTGGACAAGTACATGGTCAGCTTTGAGGGTCAGGAGCAAATGCTGCAGCATCGTAGCCCTCGGGGGCTTGGGTTGCAGGCAGCATGGACTGACTCTGGTTGTTTCATCCCCAAATATCTCTATTGTGAAAGGCTGTCATAGACCCACAGAGCCGGGGGAGTCGGGGTGGGAGCTGGAGGACCAGGACAGAAACCAGACTAGCCTCCGGGAAACGCTGGCTGGCTTGCCCTGGACCTGTGACACTCCCTCAGGATTCAAAGTCCTGTGCTTTCTGGGGAGCTGTGCTGGGGAAGGGAGCCCCTGTCCCTCCAGCTTCCACGTAAGTGACAAGCCTTTCCTCCCACCAAGGGGGGTTAGGGTGCTGTTTGGAAGAGTGGGTTGGGTGCTTCACAGGTAACACACTGCCACTGCCCCGTGTTGCTGGCCGCTAAGTGCTGTGGACACTGGAAGGCTAGAGCCGGATCTTAATGTCAACCCCCGGCGAAGGCCTCTTCTACAGGCAGGATTTGCTTTGAAAGGAGGGTAGGATCTGGATAAACGGAGAGAAGGAGGAGGACATATCAGTTGAGGAAACATCATGAGTGAAAATGCAGATGATGGATGCCTAGGTGTGAAGGTAGAGAGGCCTTGGGCTTCAGTGACGTATGAAGGACCCTGAGAATTCTGGAGAGGCTGATTGATTCCTAGAGAGATATTGTATGTATGAGAGTTGTCTCTCTCGCTTTTGGAGAGCGAGGGGCATGCTGTAGACTACTTGGAGGCAGTTAGTGGCCAGGCTGTATTACTTGCATAGGGCTGGGAAATTTGGGCAAGAAGGCTGTGACAGTCATGTCTGCAAGGAGCTGTTGCTTTTCCTGATCCACAGTGACGGAGAGTCCACTTGTGTCCTCCTTCCTTCTTTCCTCTTCCACTGGTGATGCTAATGTGTGGGTGGAGGACGGGAAGATACAGCTGTAGGAAAGGCCACTTGGCCTCTTGGGGCCCTCCGTGACCCAGCAGGTTGGCAGGTGGGAGGCTCCCGGGTGAGGAGGGGTTGGTGTCTGGAGTGAGTAAGGTGTGAGGAGGAACAGGAAGGGGCTCCTCCAGGGGTACCATTGATGGGGGTGCGGGTGGGCCGTCCTACACACAAGATGCTTGTGCAGTTGGGTGAATGCAGCTGAGGTCTAGCCTGTGGGCCCCTCAGCAGGCCATGCACCCCAGACCTGGGTCTGTCCTTCCAGACGATGGGCCCTTTGCCTGATTTGCTAAAAGCGATCATGTGGATTAGTGTGGGCCTTGGGTTCCTTGCTTTTTAAAGCAACTTGAGCAGAATTAAAGTAATAGCAGTTGCATCTTAGGCTCTTGCTCATATGGATGCATGCACAGCCCTGTCTGTGTTAAGCTGTCTTAGTGCTTGATAAATAATTACAGTAGCCTTAACTCTATTTGGTGTATATGTGTATGTATATGTTTGTGTGTGTATCACATATATAATACACACATACATACATCATATATACATGTACATATGCATACATATACGTATATCATATCAGGCATTTTTCAAGTGACTAGTTAGGTGGGCTGGGATTAAAGAGACCGTCAGAGGATGTTGAGACACCTGAGACTAGTCATGGCAGAAAACCAACTCTAAGGCTGAAGGGCAAGAGGATGGGCGGAGCCCAGTGAGGGCTGGGGCGGTGGAGGATGCAGCCATGCCAGCACAGGCAGCCCAGAGCGGAGGCAATGGGAGAAGGACTCCACTGCTTTCTCCTCCAGCCCCCCAGGACCCTGCCCATATTGCACGTTGGCAGAACCTGATCCCAGGCCATCTGGCAGGGTCCTCCTCCACCCCAATGATGCAGTGTGCAGTGATCAGCCTCCCTGGGCACAGAGCAGGCAGGAGAATGACAGAGGATGGATTGGGAGGCTGGGGTGGACAAGTGGGAATAGCTGGCACTCTTGTGTTATCTTTTCTTGAGGTTAGGATTGTTATCCTGATTTATAGGTGAGGAAACTGAACTCGTGATTTTCCTAAGATGCACCTGGCTGTTAAAGCAGAGCTAACCGTGGAAGCCAGACCTGCCTGTTGGTAAAGTCTGTGATCTTTAGTTGATCACGAGCCAAGGCATATGTAGAGTGCGTGTTGTTCTTTGGGGAGTCCACCATATCTCTAAGAGTCAACTCACAAGATGGACAAAGAGTAGCTGTGTGGTTGCAATTGGCCAGGTTGTTTCTTCACCTAAGAGGATGCCTGAGTTTTGCTGGGATCCCTGTACCTGTGTGTATGTTGTGGTTGTGGTTAAATTGTGTAGAATAGGCAGGAACAATCAGCAAGAGTATTTCTTAGATTTGATGACATGCCCTGATGACAGCTTCTCTCTCTCTCTCCCTCTTTGGCTTGGCCGTTTGGTTATTGTTAACTCCTCTTGTGTCTTCGCAGACTCCAGTCAGGTTTTTGACATCCAAGTTGTGAACATCAGTGCCACAAACATGACCCTGACCTGGAAAATCAACGATAATGAGTCATCCTCTGTCTATATGTATGAGATACAAGTTGCTACGGAGACCAGTGTCCTCAATGTCACCGTCAATGAGACTCGTGCCCTCATCAGTCAGCTCAGCCCTAGTACCTTATACAACATCACCGTGCGTCCTTTCCTTGGCAATTGTTCTAAGGGCATGCCAGGCTTTCTCCAAGTGTACACCCGTGAGTTCACTCGTAGCTTTGCTAGTCTTTCTTCCCTGCTAGCCATGCACCAGGCCCAGGTACAAGACAGAGCTCTGTTCCTGCCCTCAAGGGAAGCACAGCTCAGTGTGTGGGCCCCCAGGGACTCTTACCTCCTTCAGGCTGTGTGATATCATAACAGGATCATTCATTGACCCTACCCACGTGCTGAGCATCGTGCGATGTGCTTTCCTTGCACTGTCTCATTTAATGATCACAAATCTCTGACATGTTTGGCATTAGCCTTATTTTATGGAGGAGGAAGCCAAGGCTGAGAGAGTGCTGTAGGCAGGTGTCACACCTGCTAAGTGACAGAGGTGGGATTAGACAGCTGATCTGACTCAACTCCAGCCCGTGCCTGTAGCGCCCATTCTCATGTGGTGGAGAGCTAGAGCAAATTCATACACGGAGACAAAAATGACTGGGTATTCACGTGTCTTTGTCCTTTGGATGCTGACATTATAATGAGGCAGAGCACAGGTATGTCATGTCCTTTCTTTGCTTAACTGTCCCTTAAAGATAAGATGACAGGCAACAAATAAAAAGTTTTTTATTCCAAAGAAGATCCAGTAATTCAAAATAAAACAGTAATGGTGTACCAGTAGCATAGTAGTTCAACAGTATTGGAAGTGCACTCTCCCTGGAGCTGTACGTGGGTCTCTGTGGCCTTTGGGGTGGGTGTCAGGATCCTTGTTTTACAGATGAGAAAACTACAGCCCAGCAGGCTGAACCATTTGCCCAAGGCCACAGAGTAGCAAATGGCAGAGCAGGAACTTGAACCCAGGGGTACCTGGCTCTGGACCCAGGGCTTGTCCCACAAGAAGGCTCTACTCGAGTGTCTGTTGCTTCCTAGGAAACACACCATAGGCATTCTTAAATGTCTTCCGGACGGGCTCATTGGGCTAAACGGAATCTGCTCTTGCTTCTTCACTTTTTACTTTTTCACTGTTTAATCTCTCTGTTAGTTAAGATTAGGTTTGGCTGTGAGTCACAAAAAACTCGTGAAGTATTCACTTGAACAAGACAGGAGTTTATTTCTCTCTTGGAAAAGAAGCTCCATGCCAGGCAGGATGGGGTGGTCGAGTGTCAGCCAGGGCTCAGTTGCAGGAAACAGAAACTGTGAGCTGCTTTAAGCTGAGAGAGATTTAGCCCTGGGAATTAAGGGTTTATAGACGCATTTGAAGGGCTGGTGTATTACTTTGCTCAGGCTGCCCTAACAAGTACCACAGGCTGGGAGGCTGAACCCACAGAAGTTTATTCTCTCACAGTTCTGGGTACGAGAAGTCTGAGATCAAGGTGACGCAGGGCTGGTTTCTTCTGAGGCCTCTCTGCTTGGCTTTTAGATGGCTGCCTTCTTCCTGCATCTTCATGTGGCTGTCCTTTGGTCTATGTCTGTGTCCTAATCTCCTATTCTTACAAGGACACTCGTCATGTTGGATTGGGGCCCACCTCAATGACCTCATTTTACCTTAATTACCTCTTTAGAGACCCTATCTCTATACTCACATTCTGAGGTACAGGGCTTAGGACTTCAACATATGAAGTTTGAGGGGTCACAATTCAACTCACAATAGCTGGAGAGCAGGCTTTAGGCTGGGGCCCAGAAATGACTCCCAAACTAAGGATGTGGGACACCTCACCTGGGGAGGCACCTGCTTTGTCACCGTCAGCAGCCCTGGCTGTGGTTGCTGGCTCCAGGAATGTACGTTGTGAGCTGCAGTCCTGGGATCAGGAAGCTGCAGCCACCACCGCAGCCACAATGTTGATTCTAGAGCTAGGCAGCCTGAGCGCCAGTCATCACATCCACATTCCAGCTACAAGAAGGAGGAAGGGCAGAAGGTAGTGCTCCATGCTTTAAGGATGCTTCCTAGAAGTCATATAGTCCCTCTGTTCTCAAGCCATTGACTGGAATTTAGTCACATGGCTAATCTAGCTGCAAGGGAGGCTGGGAAATGTAGTCTTTATTCCCAAGAGCCAGGTACGCAGCTGAAAATCTGGGAGTGTATGACTAAATACAAAGAGTAGGGGGAATGGGTTTTGGGGGTCAACAGCAGCCTCTGCTACTCCTCCCTAAAAGGAGGCTGTGGAAGGTTTAGTAATGTATGTAAGATAAAGCAGCCAGCAGTAGCCAAAGTCCTGAGCGTGAGCCCTTGCCCATTGGGGTTCCCACCTCCTCTTGTTTCCTGAGAATGACTTTGTACGACCTAAGCACACAGTTTCTGCCCTCTTGTAGCCAAGAGTCCTCTCAATGTTCAGAAACATCAGTTTCTGAAGGGGCTGGTGTTGTAGGTGATAATACAAAGAAGACAGAAAGAGAGCTCAGGTGTCCCAAGTGTGCATTTAATCTCGGTGTAAACATTTTGTGAGGTTCAGTCACCTTTGTCTTCTGGAAAAGTGGATTCTTAATCCAGTTGTTTACTTTCTTCCCTCAGCCCCTGGACCAGTTTCCGACTTTCAAGTGACGAGCATCAGCATGTGGGAGATTGGCTTAGCTTGGAGCAGCAACGACTCAGATTCCTTTGAGATACATACCATATGGGTTCCAGCTGGAATACATTCGGTAGAAACCACCACCAACCAGAGTATTGTCATTGGTGGCTTATACCCTGGAACTGAGTATTGCTTTGAAATATTTCCACAAGGACCAAATGGGACGAAAGGGGATTCCCAGACAATTTGCAGTAGAACTGGTAAGCAAGTAGGATTTTTCTTAAAGGAAATCAGTGTAATTTATAAATGTCAGGTTTTCCAAATATTTCTTTTTAAAAAAAATTGTCTGAGAGAAATCTTTAAAAGAATTATGACAGTACTGCATATTTATTATATAAAAGACAAGCAAAAAGAAATAGTATCACAAGTCAACTGTCAACCAGAGATAATCACTGATAACTTTTGGTGTCTCATGTTGTGCAATTTTAAGATATATACACGTGTATATATATATGTATATATATTTTTTTCTTTTACAAACATTGAAGTCATCCTATGCGTGTGGTTTTATAACCTGCTATTTTCCACTTACCAGTTTATTATGAATATTCTTCCCTGTCAATATAAATATTTCTACAGGATAATTTTAATACCTGCCTGACATTCCATTGTCTAAATTGGGAGTCAACAGATAATAATGACCCCTGGGCCAAATCTGACCCACTGCTTGTTTTTTAACAATTATTTTATTGAGGTCATAATGGTTTATAACATTGTGTAATTTCAGGTGTACAATATTATCAGTTTCTGTATAAACTGCATTGTGCTCATCACCAGTAGTCTAATTTTTGTCTGTTTTTTTTTGCCCACCCTTCCCCTCTGGTAACCACTCGTCTGTTCTCTTTGTCCATGTGTTAGTTTATATTCCACAAACGAGTGAAATCATGCAGTGTTTGTCTTTCTCTGTCTGGCTTATTTCACTTAACATCATACCCTCAAGGACCATCCTTGTTTTTGCAAATGGGATGGTTTTGTCTTTTTTATGGCTGAGTAGTATTCTATTGTGTGTGTGTGTGTGTGTGTGTATACCATGTCTTCTTTACTCATTCATCAGTTGATGGGCACTTGGGTTGCTTCCATGTCTTGACTATTGTGAATAATACTGCAGTGAACATAGGGGTGCATAAATCTATTTGAATTGTTCATTTCAAGTTCTTTGGATAAATACCTGGTAGTGGGATAGCTGGATTGTATGATATTTCTCTTTTTAATTTTTTTTTGGTGAGGAAGACTTGCTCTGAGCTAGTATCTGTTGCCAATCTCCCTCCTTTCTTTCTTTCTTTCTTTTTTTTTTTGCTTGGGGAAGCTTAGGCCTGAGCTAACATCTGTGCCAGTCTCCCTCCACTTTATGTGTGGGTTACTGCCACAGCATGGCTTGATGAGTGGTGTAGGTCTGTGCCTGGGATCCGAACCTGCTAACCCAGGCTGTCAAAGCTGAGCACACCAGACTTAACCACTATGCCACGGGGTCTGCCCTATTTTTAATTTTTTGGGAAATCTCCATCCTGTTTCCCATAGTGGCTGCACCAGTTTGCATTCCCACCAGCACTCACTGCCTATTTTTGTAAATAGAGTGTTTTTGGAACACAAGCATGTTTACTTGTTTACATACTGTCTATGGCTTCTTTGGTGCTAGAAATGAGTGGTTGCAACAGAGACCATATGGCCTACACAGCATAAAATATTTATTATGTGACCCTTTAGAAAAAGTTTGCTGACCCCAGAGCTAGATCAGTGGTTTCAAAGTGTGGTCCAGGGAGCTCTGTCAGTCCCTGAGGTTCTTTCAAGGAGTCTGTGAGGTGTTATTATCATAATACTACTAAAGTGTTATGTAGCTTTTTCATTCTCCTTCTCTCATGATGGGTGTACAGTAGAGTTTTCCAGATGCTATAGAACAGGGGATGATATCATCACTCTCATGGCTAATGGCATATATGCTTGTGAATTATATTCTTTTTTGTTTTTCAGGTTCAAACGTTTGCTAATGCTTTTTACTATTTTATTTCTTATTTTTTATTTTTTTGAGGTCGTAATAGTTTATGACTGTGAAATTTCAGTTGTACAGTATCATTTGTCAGTCACCATAGATATGTGCCCCTTTACCTCTTATGCCCACCCCCAACCCCTTTCCCTCTGGTAACCACTACTCTGTTCTCTTTGTCTATGTGTTAATTTATCTTCCATGTATGAGTGAAATCATGCAGTATTTGTCCTTCTCTGTCTGGCGTATTTTGCTTGACATCACACCCTCAAGGTCCATCCATGTTGTTGCAAATGGGACGATTTTGTCTTTTTTATGGCTGAGTAGTATTCCACTGTATTGCTGGTGTATTCTTATGTTTTAAAAATTTCCTCGTTTTTTTCTATTACGGTAAATATAACCTACGTAACCAAAAATTCTATAAGAGCCTTAATAAGTTTTACTAAGGTAAAGGGGTCCTGAGACCCCTTTAAGTTTAAGAACTGCTGGTCTGGATGTATTGTAAATTATGTAAGACAATTTGTTTACATCGCTGTAATTATTCTGCAAATCATTTTATTTTGTATTTGAACCTTTTTTCTCAGCGTATACTATAGCTTCCCCCCCTAGTTAGTATGTCTTCCTGTTTTTAGTGGCTGCGGAATATTTCATCATGGAGCCAGATCACAGTTTACACAGCCCTTCGCTTTTTATGGAGTATTTAGGTTATTTCTAGTTTAATTATTTTTATGGAAAATAGCTGCCTTTCCTGGGCTTTTGTCTGTGGAATCCCTTTGACATTGGGAATCTAGTGGGAGGGAAAGAAGACTCTCAAAGTTCTCCCCTCTTTAAGGAGAGCCCACTTTAAAGAAACTTTGATTTTGGAGTAGATAGTACATGCATGTGTACAAAATTAAAAACAAATACAAAGGGTTTTACAGTGCAAATGTTTCCCTCTTTTGTCCCCTGGTCACCCGCTTCCTCTCATTGGAGATGACCTTGGTTACTAGGTCAAGAGAGAAAAGCTTTGGAAGCAAGGGCGGAAGAGAGACCCTGCTTATGTAGTTATTTCTGGGCCTGGATCATGCATTTGAATTGCAACTGGTTCAGTGTGTTGGGGTGACATGATCAGAGGACAGTCCCCAGAGCGCTCATGTGAGTCATTTCTCTCCTGACTTCCACCTCGGGAAGGTGGAGGGTGTGTGCCTATTTTCCCTTCCTCCCTCCAGCCTCAAATGCTCCCACTTAGTAAATGTCAACTCCTCTTTTTTCACTTCTTTTTTGCGGGTTGCTTACTTAATTTTTTTTTTATTGCGGTAACATTGGTTTATAACATTATATAAATTTCAGGTGTACATCATTACATATTTCGATTTCTGTTTAGATTACATCGTGTTCGCCACCCAAAGACTAATTACAGTGCATCACCACACATGGGTCTAATCACCCTTTTTGCCCTCCTCCCTCCCCGCTTCCTCTCTGGTAACCACCAATCCAATCTCTGCTGCTATGTGTTTGTTTGTCATTGTTTTTATCTTCTACTTATGAGTGAGATCATACGGTATCTGACTTTCTCCCTCTGACTTATTTCAGTGAGCATAATACCCTCAAGGTTCATCCATGTTGTCACAAATGGCCGGATTTCATCATTTCTTATGGCTGAGTAGTATTCCATTGTGTATACATACCACATCTTCTTTATCCATTCGTCCCTTGATGGGCACCTGGGTTGCTTCGTCTTGGCTATTGTGAATAATGCTGCAGGGAACATAGGGGTGCATGTATCTTTATGCATTCATGTTTCCATGTTCTTTGGATAAATACCCAGCAGTGGAATAGCTGGGTCGTATGGTAGTTCTATTCTTAATTTTCTGAGGACTCTCCGTACTGTTTTCTACAGTGACCGCACCTCAGTTGCCCTTTTCAGTTTTTCTCTTCAGCATGCCTGTGTTATAGGAAGATGTTTTCTTTTGAGAAAAGAACATTGATTAAAAACAATTTGTTGAGATATAATATACTTACTGTAAAGCACACACATCCTAAGTGCATAGTTTGATGAATTTCCACAAACTCAACCTGTCTGGTCACCAATACTCAGAACAAGAACTGAACATGATTTCCAGTCCAGAAGACCCCAAAAGGGGGCATTTTTGTGACAAAAGCAAAAGACCAGAGAACTGATACAATGAACTGCAAAGTTCATCTGTGTTATAGAAGAGCCAAAATTCTTGAAAGAACTGAAGGTGTGTCTTTCTCACGTAGGTCTTGGAGTTTGCCCTTTGTGAACTCGTCTGAGAGTTTGATGGTGAAAAAGCAAGTTCTTTTGACAGATACATTGAAATAAAGCTGGATGTTATACTGGTTCTGAACAGACTTCCTTTTTTCCTCCTTTCCTCCAACCAGCCCCCGGTGCAGTGTTTGACATCCGTGTGATCCATGTCAACACGACGGAAATGCAGCTGGAGTGGCGGAATACGGACAATGCTTCTAAGTATACCTACCATCTAGTCATACAGTCTGAGAACGGCTCTTGTGAGAGGAACAGTTCCTACAGAGCAGTCACTCTCCGGGACCTGATCCCGGGCACCTTATATAACATCACGATCTCTCCAGAAGTGAACCATGTTCGTGGGATCTCCAGCTTCACAGAACAGTACACACGTAAGTGTCAGAGGATGCCCAGCGAAGGAGTGGCACGAGTGTCTTTCACTTGGGAGGGTGAGAACTAAGCGTTGGTTAGATGACGCGGTCAGCGCCCATGGTGTTTCTGGGCTCCAGGTAGAATGTGAAACTGCTTAAGCTGAAAACGTCAGCCTCAGCAAAGGTCCTGCTGTTCTCATGGGGCACTGGTGCTGACCCATGTGAACTTGGAATTGTCTTGAGAAGCAGGAAGTGATCTCGTAAGTCATGGAGAACCTAACCTTGCAATCGTTCCTTGGGAATCTAGACCAGAGGAGGTCACCTTGTCATGTTGGCGTCGGAAGATACTGCTCAAATAAAGAGCTCTGCATGCAACAGGGGCGGGGGCATTTTGCTCATATGTGATCTAAATATGTGGTAGGGATGGTAGTTTATAGTATCTTTTTAGTATATTTTTTCCCTTTCATTAACCAGATTTCAAAAACATAGGAAATTGTATCTTGAAAATATATTTCACGTAAACTTGAAGTATGAAAAGAAGCCTGAAAAACTTTAATTCTTTTGAGATTTAACCTATATAATTATTTCCTGAATGTCTCCTTGGGAAGCCTTCCATCTTTTGAGGCAGAAAATAGTAGCTTTATTCATTCTTTCCCCAAAAAGTCTCAGTCTCTTTTTAGATGCAATACATAAAGTAGTCCTGGAACTCAAGCTTATCTATACTGTTTTTATTGTTTTAATTTTAAATCAAGGGCCCAGCACTGTGTCTGACATTGAAATAAGTACCAACACCACAGCAGCAACCTTAAAGTGGCAGAACTCTGACGAAGCCTCTCCCAGGTACACCTACCGCCTTCTTATTGGGAAAGATGGAAATTCCAGCCACACGGCAGTCACAGTCACTGGCGTCACCTCTGCTACAGTCACCGGATTAATACCTGGCTCATCGTACACAGTGGAGATCTTCACACAAGTGGGGGATGTCACCGAGTCACTGGCACCTGGCTCGCAGTCCTTCTGTACAGGTGAGTGGCCCCGCGTGCCTCTGGCCTCCTTCCTGTGTGGTGCTGCCCTTGCAGGTCGGTCCTCCACGGTCCTCAGTTTATCAGGTTTCATGTGGTGTGCAAGAAGGGACACGGAGCTCTCTGAGACCTCCTGTTAGCTTACTAGCGCTATCTCGTTGCCCTCATCATTTATTCGTTCAACAAATATTTATTTAGTGCTTACTGTATGCCAGGCACTGTTAAATGACACAGAAAAGTCCTTCCTGGAACTTTTATTCTGATGGGGAAGCCATAGTTAACAAGATGAATAAGTTATCAGATGTTGATTACTGCTAGGGAGAGGGAAAAAAACAAGGAAGGCGGAATGAAGTGTTGGTCTAGGCTGTCCATGGAGGGCCTCAAAGAAAAGGTGACTTTTGAGCAAAGATTTGAAGGAAGTAAAAAAGCCAGCCATCTGGATACCAGGGTGTAGAGCATTACAGGCAGAGGAGCAGCCAGTGCAAAGGCCCTGAGGCTGGAGAGTGCTTGCTCTGTTGAAGGCAGAGCAGGAGGCCAGGCTGGCAGGAGTGGATCCATGGGAGCAAGAGGACGAGGGGTAAGAGGTGAGGCCTGAGAGGTAAGGGCCTGGGGCATAGGTGACATCCAGGCTTGTAGTTCATAGTTTGGCTTTTACACTGAAGAAGGTGGAAAGGATATTGTTAAAATGGATGCTCAGCCTTTTCTACTTTCTTGATCCTTATTTCTCAATGCGAAAAGTGCGATAAAGAGAAGAGCCCTGGGTTTAACTGAGGACTTTCAGAGAGGAACCCAGGGAATTTCTGCAGAGCTGTGGGGACTTCTGCTCGCAGTTCTGACTGTGGCGCCTTTGTCACCGCGGCACCCGTGTACCACCTTATTCTCCACCTACTTTGCAGCTACATCTTCCCTTCCTTAGACCAAGCTAGTGGAGTGTGTTCAGACTGATTTGGAGGGGGGTGTGGTCTCATTGGGTCAGCCTCCCTGGTCATGTGGGAACCTCGATGACCCTCTGACCTTTCACGTGGAGTGGCTAAAGAAATCCCTGAAGCCTTGAGTCACCTCTGCTGCCTCAGGCTCCAGCCACCTGGTCTAGACTCTGATCTTTGGTATTTGGGTGGCCTCCATTGCTGATACTTTTCTTAGCCATAATCATGGCAGCCTGTAGCAGGAGAAAAACATATGTGAGCATTTATGACTGGGGGTGGAGGGAACAGCAGCTGTGGGAGAAGGTATGAACTGGGGAGGCTACCTTTCCAGGCCTCCGGCAGAGAGTGTGGAGAGGCACTACGTGACTTATTAGTGCTTTTCCTGCTCTAAAATTCGGCAACATTAAAGTAATGATAATATTCTCCCCCAGGATATTAATAGAGAGTTTTCCGTTTACATCAGTTTCATGTTGGCCCTCAAGAAACCTCTATTGGTCCTCAGGTAGAAACAAATAACACCCCATTTTAAAGATGAGGAAACTCATGCCATTTACCATTGATCATTGAGCATGTTGTGTGTTTAGAAAATGCCCTGGACTGGGATTTAGAAAACCTGGGATCCAGCTTTGGCTTTGCCACTTACCAGCCATGCCACTTCTTCAGCAAATTACTTCACCTCTCTAGGCCTCAGTTGATTCATCTGCAAAATGGGACAGTCCTAGCCCTACCTGTTCCAGAAGGATTGTCGAGAGGGCCCCAAAATGAGATGACACAGGTGAAAAAGCTGCTCCACCCATGGTATGATATACCTACCTCTCATGGAGCCCTGTTCTCTTCCAGCTCAGTGACTGACAACCACTGTTTCATTTAATCCTCAAACAGGCCTGAGCTGAGGCTCAGAGCAGTTGGGTGACTGACCCAAGGTCACCCAGTTCAGTAATACCCGATTCAAGGTCAGCCTCTGCCTCTTCTCCCATACCCCAGGACTCCTCCTTGCAAATGGGCCAGAATTCTACTGCCCCGCACGTGTCAGTGTTTGCAAAGGCAGATGTCCCAGAGTCTCACAATGTGCTGTGCTTGCTTTGCAGATCCTGCACCAGTAGCCTCCTTCCACTGTGAGGTCGTCCCCAAAGAGCCGACCTTGGTTCTCAAGTGGGCCTGCCCTCCCGGCACTAACGCAGGCTTCAGGCTGGAGATCAGCTGTGAGGCCTGGCAAAATCTGACATACCGCAAGAGCTGCTCCTCGGAGAACAACACCGAGTACAGGACGGAAGTCACGTATTTGAATTTTTCTACCTCGTACAACATCAGCATCACTGCCTTGTCCTGTAACAAGACGGCACCCCCCTCCCAAAGCACGTGCCTCACTGGCATCACAGGTGGGCTTCGTGACAGCAGGGTGGCCAAGCGGCATTGTGGTCACCCCTGGAGACGCTGACCCAGTGGGTCTGCAAGTGTGGCCCAGAAATCTGCTTTTTTTTTTTTTTTAAATTTCAGCTAAAATATTTGTTTTTGTTGGCATGGACTGTTAACCCAATTCTATAGAAATCTAGTCTACAAAAGCAGAGAAGTGGGAATCATTTTTACATTACAAATTTTCCTTTTCTTAACAGAATAATTCATTGCCACATTTTCTTTTAAGTAGTGAGTTCCCTTACTGCATTAAAAAGAAGCATTTTATAGAAATATTCAAATATACATAAAAGTAGAGGACAGTAGAAAGAAACCCACATGCCCATCACCACCCACTTGAACATTTGTCAGCACTTGACCAATTTTGTTTCATTCATGTCCCCTCCTCCCTTACTTGATTGCTTTGAGGCCAGTCCTAGTCATTCTGTATTTTTATGTGTCAATATTTCAGTATTTATTGCTGCAAGATAGGGACTTCTTTTCTCTTTCTTTCAGACATAACCCCATTATTATTACCGTAACACTTGAAAACTTAATCTTTTTTTTCGCTATTAGCAAATATTCAGTCAAGATTCCTATTTCCCTACTTACAGTTCCTTAAGACAGCATCTGTATTCACAAGTGCCCCAGTGGTTTTGGGAAACAGGATCACTTCCTGCACGGGGGTCCCCCTAGTTAATCTTCATGCACATATGGTTGTTTTTTTTTTGGAAAATCTTGCTTCTTACATCTTTGCTTCATGTTTGTCCGTCTTTTGCTCCCCATGTCCTGCCAAAGTTATGTCTTAGATCAACCTGGTTGAGTTGGTTTTGCTTTGTGCTTTTTGACTCCTAGGTATGTTTCCTTTGGAGTACAGGAATGTTTCCAGACAATTCCTAAAGAATTAGTGGTTGTAATAGTGAGAAAAAAGGCCTCTCACTTCAGAGACACTGACGTGGAAAGTGGTGGAGGGGTTCTGCGGACAAAGCCTCAGACTTAGGCTGACCTGAGTTTCATTCTAAGATCTGCCTTTTACCATCTGTGCGATCTCAGAAAAGTTGCTCAATCTCTCTAGGCCTTGTTTTCCTTAGTTTCAAAAGAGGAAATAATACCTCCCTTCTAGGAATGTTGTAAACATTAGATGAGGTAATGTGTGTGGAAGGCCACTGCAGAGCTGCCATATGTGGCCGCTCAGGTGATGCACTTCACAATTCCAGGCGACACCATCATAGGGACTACGATGTGTTTGAAGCTCCGTGGAGTGTGTAGGACACAGTTGTACAGGATGGCCCTGAGTCACACTCCTTTGGTTTCTGCAGCACTCTACAACATGATAGAGACAGTGACCCTTGTGGGTACTTTTTTGTTGTTCTCTGCTGCATGCTGTCATCTCCTCAGTGGGTGTAAGCCACTGAGGAACAGAAACCGTGTCTGATTTGGTGTCTCAGGGCTGCGCACAGGGCCTGGTGAAGAGGACCAGCTCCTCAGAATTCGTCATTCCTGAGGCTGAACCATGGGTGTGAGGGATGGATAATGCCCACTTCTCATCTAGTCCAGTGATTCTCTCACTCCGTGATCTGTAGCTGCTTTTTCTCAGGTGGATTTTTACGTACAATTTTAACATGCTTGTTTAATGTACAAATTTAATACGTTTTTAATTTAACATAAAACTAGAACTGCATTTTCTCTGAGAGAGGTAGGAAGCATTGGCGGGTAGGTCAATCTGAGAGAGTTGGAATGATGGTCTTTTAGTCAACATCCATTGGCTGCTTACTGTGTGCTGGGTGGTGGGGGACGGTGATAAGGGACACCATGCACTGGGCAGAGAGGCCCCTGGAGCATAGGGGCTGCTGGGAACTGTGTTAGGAAGTCTCTGGGGAGGCCATTGACAGACATGGGGACAGCGCCTCCAAGTGGCCACTGCTGTCAGTTACGTGAGAGGTTGCCGAAGCAGGTTTTTAGATCTCTGCTTCCAATAGAAAATAATATGAGCCTCATGTATAATTTAAAATTTTCTAGGAACCACATTAAGAAAATATAAAAAGGAACAGCTGAAATTAGTTTCATTCACGTTTTATTTAACTCGGTATGTTAAAAAGGTTATCATTTCAACATGTAATCTGTATAAAGGAAGTTATTAATGAGATATTTTGCATCCTTTTTTCACACTGTCTTTGACATCCAGTCTCTGTCTCACACGTATAGCACATCTGAATTTGGACTAGTTGCGTTTCAAGCGCTCCACAGCTGCGTGCGGCTGGTGGCTGCCGTATTGGACGGCGCAAGTTTGGAGAATTGTGCTGTGGTTCTTTTGGAGTTCAGTTTTCTCAGTCTCCCTGAATCTTGAGTATAATAAGAAAGCACTCCAACTGCATGTGGGAGACAAATTTAGGTAGAGAGAGAGCGTGTGGAGAGAGATGACCTTTAATTCAGTGTCTTCTTCCTTTTGTGTTAATTCAGAGAGTGGATTCACAAGCCTAGCTTGGAAAGGCGAGGTACCTCATCATGAAGGTCACCCACGGAATACTCCTGTGTGGGCTTTTCTGGTGTCTAGGAAGAGGGTTGGTTGGGTTTCTCTAGGTGCTGTTTTAAACCAACTGCAGCAAAAGTAAGGACTTTGGTGTGAAGGACGTGGAGCAGGAATGCAGCCAGGTCTCAGGAGGAAGTGCGTTCTGTCTGTGTCGTCTCTGCTCCATCACTGTTCTCAGCTGACCAACCCATCTGGGGCCAAGTTGGGTGGTGGGAAGATGTCTGTGTACAGCTCCCAAGTCCCCACTTTAGAGTTGCACCCACACAGTCTCTCTCTCACTTTCCTTTTTCTCCAGTTCTCAGGGTAAGGAACCTGGCCCTCTGGGTCTCACCTGGGTCGGGGGAGGGGGTCAGGGGAAGATAGAAAAGCCAGGTAATTCTCAACCAATAAGGTTGCTGCAAACCTGTCCTCAGGGATGTGGCTGCCACACTGAAGGGGCCATGGTGAGCTAGGCAGGCTTCCCCAGGGATCTACCCTTTTTATTTTATTTTTTATTTTTTAATTTTTTTTAAAGATTTTATTTTCTCCTTTTTCTCCCCAAAGCCCCCCGGTACATAGTTGTATATTTCGTTGTGGGTCCTTCTAGTTGTGGCATGTGGGACGCTGCCTCAGCGTGGTCTGATGAGCAGTGCCATGTCCGCACCCAGGATTCGAACCGACGAAACACTGGGCCGCCTGCAGCGGAGCGCGCGAACTTAACCACTCGGCCACGGGGCCAGCCCGGGATCTACCCTTTTTGAACTCCACCAGTTCTCTTCCCTGCCCCTTGCTTCTGGACTTACTTTGCATGAGCCTAGCACACAGCTTTCTGATCAAGGGCAGATCTTGAGGGAGGCATTCCAGCAAATTCTCACCTTCATAATTTTGTTCCTTCTTTGGTTTTAAATATTGGGTGATCATGTTTTGTTTTGTTCTGTTTCAGACCCCCCTTCTCCAGATGGATCCCCTAATATTACATCTGTCAGTCACAATTCAGTCAAGGTCAAGTTCAGTGGGTTTGAAGCCAGCCATGGACCCATCAAAGCCTACGCTCTCGTTCTCACCACTGGGGAAGGTAAGGAGGGATCATTATGCCAAGTGACAAAGGTCAAACAGCCAGTGAGTGATACCCTTACTGGGCGCCATTTCCGTGCCCACTGAGGCACATTAGTGATACAAATATGTGTCTGTTTTTACACTGTCGCCCACGCTTTGACACTCAGATGGGAGTGGGAGAGGGTAAGCTATTTGCCTGATCACCTAGGTCAGAGGTTGACAAACTTTCTGTAAAGGGCCAGATAGCAAATATTTGAAGCTTTACAGACCCTGCAATCTCTGTCCTAGCTATTCAGCTCTGCCATCGTGGTGTGAAAGCAGTTGTAGAAGATACATAAAAATGAATGTGACTCTTATTTACTAAAATGGGTGGGTGGCTGGATTGCACCCTTGGATCCTAACTTGCTGACCTCTGATTTAGGTTTTTCATCTCTTTTACAACACAAGGTCTTTCAGGTGGCAGAATATTAGCCTTAAACAACTTTGTCACACACACACGTGCGTGCATACACACACACGCGCACACACACACACACAAATCATCCTGATAGGGTGACTTTCTCTCGCAAGAAAACAGAAAATGATTTGCATTTGCAGTGAGAACTTGCAAAGAGCATCCTCACAGATGAGAGAAGGGGTGGAGGAAAGGCCACCTTTCCTTAAAGGGCTCCCTCACGCGCTTGGGTGGGAAGGAGGGGCTGAATCACGGCGTCTTTGTTAGCTGCATGTGGGTGCTTCACACAAGGCCTGGGTTTAAAGTGCCAAATTTTGTCATTTTCGGTGATCCTTTGAACTGAATGTCAGGAGTGCAGTGCCACTCCCATCAGCCTCTCAGCCTGTGACACTGTCCTCATCTCCTCGAGGGCAGCAGAGTTCAAGCCCACTGTCAGGAGTGTGGGGATCCTGGAAAACAGGGAATTTGCTGGTGTTGTAAACCTGCGGCAAAATTCACATAGTGATGTTTAGATCTCTCTCTCTGTCTTTTTGTTTGGGGTCTGTTTCAAACCCAGTCATTTTGCTGTGAAGGTTTTCAGCAAACCCCAGGCTAAGACCTTTGCTGAAGAGGGAGGCATCGTTGCTTAGTGACCAGACTGACTGATACCAGCCTGTGGTGGATGAGACCACACGCTCCCAATCTGATGGTCTGCTACACTGTTAGAAATACAACTAGACCACACAGGCAGTGTGGCCTTCAGTCCTTTTAGCTTTCTGTGCCTTCATTTTCCCATCTGTAAAATGGGGATGGTAAGCCTACATGTTGAGATTATTGTGGACATTAAATGAGTTGATGTCTGTAAAGCACTTAGTACTTAATATCAGTAAAGCCTGGCATAGAAAGCATCCTTGAGAGGTGTACCTATCATTGTCACCCAGTGTCAACATCATTCGTTAGGTGAATCGGAGACTTATGTCTTTGCCATCACTTTCTGATGACTTTTCCTCCTGTGTGTCCTTTCTTAGCTGTTCACCCGTCTACAGATGCTTTGAGATATACGTATGAAGATTTCAAAAAGGGGGACTCAGACGCTTACGTGACATACCTCATAACAACAGAAGGAAAGAGACGCTCTCAGGGCTTGTCTGAAGTCTTGAAATACGAAGTTGATGTTGGGAATGAGTCAACCACGCATGGCTATTACAACGGGAAGCTGGAACCCCTGGGCTCCTATCGGTAATGGCTCCTCCTTCTTGGTCTTTCAAGGCTGAGCCTCCTGCATGCAAAGCTTCACATGCCGGGGCACTGGACACATCTCAGCCACCTCCTTTCCCTCTTGTCATCCCACAGGGCTTGTGTGGCTGGCTTCACCAATATTATCTTTCGCTCTTCCAATGACGGACTCATAGACGGGGCCAAGAGCTACGTGTCCTTCGGTCGCTGTTCAGATGCTGTTTTCTTGCCCCAGGATCCAGGTAGAGGAAGAACCACAATGCTGTTAGCAACTGAGTGGGTTTTGGCTTCCAGCGTCCACCGAAGGCCGGGTGTCTGCACGCCTCCCTGTGGTCCCCAGGAGGGTTGAGAGCCTCATCTCTCCTCTCAGAGGTTGAGATGTCACTTGGCCAACAATGCCCAGCTCAGCTTTCTCTTCTGGGGTCCCAACACCCCTGCCCCCTGCTCTCCCTCCTCTGAGTGCCAGCTGTGCTTCCAATCTGCAAAGACTATTTAGTCCTTTTCTTCTCAGTGTAGTCATTTGGGTGCCCACGTGCCAGACGTGCAATGTGACTTTTGGTGCATAGAACCCTTGAATATTAGGATCAGAAGGAGCCACAGAAATAGTCTTGTCCAACCTTCCTTTTAGAAATGAGGCTGTTAAGGCCCAGAGAGAGGCAGTGACTTGCCCAGGGTTACACAGTGGCTTAGAGACAGGCCTATCATTCTGGTCTCAGACTCCTCGTCAAGTGCTCCTGTCTTTTACTACACAGAGTGAAGTGATGTAGGAGCTTCAGGACCCAAGAGGGTACATCCCTTACCTTCAGGCCAGAGGCAGTTGGCCAGCTGGTTTGTTAGTTTGGTTTCATACTCAGTAGTTGTTTGGCTGCAGGAAGGAATTCAGCAAAGTTCAGGGAGTCCCCACACCCTTCTCCAGTAAACACCTGGGTTTTATGTCACCTGAGCACAGTGCTGCTGCTCGTACGTGGGTGTTAGTCTCAGAGTCAGAGGCGGCAGGAACCATGTGGAACATCTCGTCTAGTTGGTTTCAAACAGTGGCTGTTCCACCAAACACGGCCGAGTCCCTTTTTTTTTTTTTTTGAGGAAGACTAGCCCTGAGCTAACATCTGCTGCCAGTCCTCCTCTTTTTGCTGAGGAAGACTGGCCCTGAGCTAACATCCGTGCCCATCTTCCTCTACTTTATATGTGGGACGCCTACCACAGCGTGGTGTGCCAAATGGTGCCATGTCCGCACCCAGGATCCGAACCAGCGAACCCTGGGCCACCGAGAGGTGGAACGTGCAAACTTAACCACTGCGCCACCGGGCCGGCCCACGGCTGAGTCCTGAGATGCCCCCACCCTACCTCACCTAAGCATTTCTGCCTGGTTTTCTATTTTATTTATTGGGCTGCTGTAGGCCGTTGCATTTGAAGAAAGAAGTCCGTGGGTGAGAACAACCTGAAAATCACTGATCTAGCCCACTTCCCTAAATTTGCAGTTCAGGAAGAGGCCTGGAGAGGAGGAGTGACTTCCTCAGACCATCCAGTTAGTGGCGGACTGGGAACAAGGAATCCACTCCCAAATGCCCCGACTGGTTTTAGGTCCAAAGTGATTTAACTGTCCTCTGCTACACACACACACACACACACACACACACTCTCTCTCTCTCTCTCTCTCTCTCTGTCTCTGGTTCGAGGCTGTTCCAGTTGTTAGCGAACACCTCCTGAACTGCCTCCCATTTGGACTTTTCCCAGGTGTCATCTGTGGAGCGGTTTTTGGATGTATCTTCGGTGCCCTGGTTATTGTGGCCGTGGGAGGCTTCATCTTCTGGAGAAAGAAAAGGTGACTATTGCTTATGTTAATAATAAGACCCTACTTTTCAAGGGAGCTTTTTATGATGGAAAGTTTTAGACATTCACACGACTGGAAGGAATAGTGTAGTGAGCCCCCATGTTCCTATCATCCACAATCTTGGCTCTCAGAGCAGTCTTATTTCATCCCAGCCCCCAAGCTGCAGGATTTTAAAGTAGGTCCCAGCCCTGACATCAGGTCATGGGGAGACCCTGCACGTAGGGTGCCTCTGTCAAAGGGTGCATTCTAGGTCACAAATCAGTTTCATAGTGGGACGAGGTTGTGTTTTAGAGTTAACTAAGTTTGAACACGTGCTCTGTCTCTGGCTGGCTGTCAGGGATCTTAGCCTTAATGTCTATGATAATCTATGATATGGGGATAATAAGAGTGCCTACTTGTGACGCTGAGGAGCATTAAATAAATGAGATGCTCTGACAGTGTCTTGTACCTCATATGCTATTATTATTTTATCTCTACAGCTACCCTTTCGGGTAGTTAAATAGTTAAAATAGCAACTGTTTTGAGCGCATACTTTGTACCTGGATTTGTGCTGTCCATGAATTCTCTCACTCCTGAGGCTCTGTGAGGTGGTGTTGTGAGCCCCATTGCAAGGATGCAGCAGCCGAGTGTAGGAAGTGTGGAAAGAAGAATGAAACCAGTGTTGAGTAGTTTTGTGGGGGTGCTGTGATAACGGAGTATCTACTTTCTTTGCTCTTCTTTTCTGTATTTGTTTTCACCGTAAGCATGTATTACTTTTATTTTAACAAGAAACAATAAAACAGTTTTTTTACTCCTCTCTTGCAAAAAAAAAAAAAAATCAGAATCTAATGCAAAAACCTGGAACACAGCACTGCCTGTCGACTCAGTAAGGCAGGTGACAGCAGGAGAACCGGGAGGAGTGCGTTAGGGACCCTGGGCTGGGATGAAAATGCCCTGGCTGGCAGCACCTGATGACAGCCCATGACTCCCAGCCGATGCACAGGCTTCACATGCCACACGGTTGGGCAAGAGGGTGTGCGTTGATTACAAAGCTCACACACAAATACACACACCCACTACTGGAATCATACTATACATATTATTTTCTAATCTGCTCTATTCTCTTAAGACATTGTGGAGGCTTCGTTTCTTCTTCCTGTTAAGTGGCTACAGAGTATTGAACTGTCTGGATGTGATTTAACAGTTTCCTGGTTTTCAGTGTTTTTTTTTCTCATGGTTTCTTATTCTTGTGCCTAAATCTTTGGGTACATTCATGATTTATTCCCTTAGGGTAAATTCCAGGCGGGGCAGTTTTTTGGTCAGAGGGTACGCATGGTTCCAATTTTGTACTGCCAAACTGCCTTCCAGAAAGCTTTTTAAAAAACACCAATATGGAGTTTAGTCAGCTGTGCAGGAGGGCACCAGGTGCCCCACCACCTTGTCAACACTGGTTATATATACATATATATATATATATATATATATTTCTTTTTGTGTGTGTGTGTGATGAAGATTGGCCCTGAGCTAACATCTATTGCTAATCTTCCTCTTTTTTCTTGAGGAAGATTGTTGCTGAGCTAACATCTGCGCCCATCTTCCTCTGTTTTGTATGTGGGACGCCGCCACAGCATGGCTTGACAAGTGTGCTAGGTCTGTGCCCAGGATCTGAACCTGCGAACCCTGGGCTGCTGAAATGGAGTGGGTGAACTTAACCACTATGCCACCGGGCCGGCCCCGTGCACTGGATATATTGTCTGGTTCATTCCATTAACTTGTCAGGAAGGCTATCTCAAAAGCAGAGTATGAAATAATGAGTCTCAGTTTACCATAGGATAAGGCTGCTGATATATCTATTTACCCAAGGAAATTCCTAAAAGTTGCTTGTCTAAGATTCTTCCATACTTTTAGATGCTATAAAAGAGAGTGACTTCACAGATTCATGATCAGAATTTGCTACTTAGACCATTAAGCTTAGTGTTAGTGAGAGGGGCTGACTGTTGCATAGGAACTGATGCTCAGGGCAAAGGCATTTTGTAGGTACATGAGAGGGGGCAAGGCACAAAATTAAACTTTTTGTCTAATGGGTTTGTTTCCTTTCAAAACAGGAAAGATGCAAAGAACAATGAACTGTCCTTTTCTCAAATAAAGTAAGTCTCTTGAGTTATGAGCTTTATTTTAAGACGTTAATTCCCCAATCTGTTCACTGACTGTCGAGGGGATTTTTGATGGAACTTGCTGTCATTTTTCTTGATTGACCCGTTTGGCCATGATCTTCCAGAAGTCCTTGCTGCCTTTGTTATTCTGCAAGGACTCTGTGTTCATTAGTCTGCTGAAGCTAGCTTCCTGCCATGTTCTACTATGGCAAGTATCGTTCCACCAATAATTCTACCAATAAATATATATTTTGTGATTGAAAAAAATGGGTCATCAAGATCTCGGAGGAGAGGACTTGCTCAAAGTCACAAAGCCAATCAGTCATGTGATAGGGTCTAGAAGTCAGATGTCCTGATTCACATTTCAGTGTTTGTAAATAACATTATGCTGACCCCTCCCCCCAATCCCCCCAATTATACTATAGTTTTTGTTCTTTTGGGAAGTTGTTTACTATCATCTCCAGAGTCGTGGTTGACTCAGTTTTTCTAACGGTGTATTTTTTTTCTTTCCCTTTCTATGATGAAGACCTAGAAAGTAAGTAAGCTCTTTAATTTTTTTGCTAACTTGTATTTTTCTATTTTGAGTACTAACTTTGTTGAATGTCAAAAACCCTAATACGTCGTTTTGTTTTCTTAGATCCAAGTTAATCAAAGTGGAGAATTTTGAGGCCTACTTTAAGAAACAGCAAGCCGACTCCAACTGTGGATTTGCAGAGGAATACGAAGTATGGGGTTGTAAATAGTGTGTTTTTACTTGCTTTATAGTTCGTTTTCCTGAAAGTTGGAAAACTGCTGGTTTTTGTTTTATGGTGAAGCTTTGGGTAAGAGGAAGCCCTCTTGGAGGAGAGAGAAGCTCTTGCATGTTCCTGGGGATTCCACTGTCACCGGGTTGGCTCTGAGCACGAAAACGTATCTTCCTTCTAGCGGATTATGTCTAATCTCGTTGATACCTGAAGATTATCCAGAGAGACAGAGAAACTAGGACTTCAAGTTGAGGGCTATTAACTAGAATAATTAGGAGGCTGTATGAGCTGGAAAGAAACCAGATGGGGCATTTAGGGGGCTGAAGTTTGATGAGTGTGGGGTCACGGTTGACTCTTGAGGATTATGTGAAATCCTGCAGAAAGAGTTTCTACTTTTCAGTCCCCATATGCTCTCCCCCACAAACCAGCCCAGGAAATCCCCCCCACCCCCCCATGCACCCTCATCCTCCATGTGCTGCCCCTGTGGCAGCATCTCTGCCTTCATTGAAATCCTGCTCACCACTTGTGTTAGTTTCCTGTGCTGCCATAACAAATCACCACCAACTGGAAGCTTAAAACAGCAGAAGTGTATTCTCACAGTTCTGGAGGGCATCCTCTAAGTCCCCAGTCAAGGTGTCAGCAGGGCACTGCATCCTCTGGAGCATCTACAGGGAGAACTCTTCTTTGATTCTTGCAGATTCTGCTGGCTTCCAGCGTTCCTTGGCTTAGAGCTGTGTTACTCCCATCTTGGCCTCTGTTTTCTCCTCTTCCTCCTCCCTGTGTTTCTCCTCTGTGTGTCCCATGTAAGGACACCTGTTATTGGATTTAGGGCCCACCTGGATAACCCAGGATGATCTCATCTCAAGATTCTTGACTTAATCACATCTGCAGAGTCCCCTTTTTCCAAATAAGGTCACATTCGCAGGTTGCAGGAGTCAGGACGTGGACATGTCTTTTTGGGACCACCGTTCAACCTGCTATGCAGTGTCACCTCCTCTGGGTCATTTTCTCTGATGTCATTAGGAGGACTTGAATTCTCTGTCCTCATGCCTGTTTCCCCTGTGATGTGTTGCTTGTCACTGATAATTCAGCGTTAATTTAATTCTTCCTTGTCGTAACGTTGGTTATTTCTGTCTACACCTCTCTCCCAGCTTGTAAGCTCTTTGAAGGCAAGGTTGTCCTTTTTCTTTTCATTTCTGTGTTAGTTTCCAAGAGCCGCCATAACACACTACCGCAAACTGGTGGCTTAGAACAACAGAAAATTATCCTCTCGTGTTCTGGAGGCCAGAAATCCAAAATGAAGCTGTTTAGCAGGGCCTTGCTCCCTCCAAAGCCTCTGGTAGAGGATTGCTCCTTGCTTCATCCAGCTTCTGGAAGCTCTAGGCATTCTTGACTTATGGCAGGGTGACTCTAATGCCTGCCTCCATCTCCACATGGCTGTCTCCCCTTGCGTGTCTGGATCTCAGTGTCTCTTCTCCTCTTGTAAAGACATCAGTCATATTGGATTAAGGGCCCACCCTACTCCTCTATGACCTCATCTTATCTCATTACATCTGCAAAGACCCGTAGTTCCAAATAAGGTCGCATTCACAGGTACCGGGGGCTAGAACGTATCTTTTTGGGGAACACAATTTAACCCATAATATCCCTGTATTCCCACTTTATTCTGTCATACTCTATGCTCAGTAGGAATACTATCTGAACACTAAATAAACGAACAACTCATTTGTTTTGTTTTCAGGATCTGAAGATTGTTGGAATTAATCTACCCAAATATGCAGCTGAACTGGCTGAGAATAGAGGAAAGAATCGCTATAATAATGTTCTGCCCTGTAAGTTGGTTGATCCACATTATCTCCCCTTTTTTCTGTCACTGGCCATCACAGCTCTAACAGTAGAGGGAGGGGCATCAATGGTACTAACCAGCCACTTCCACAACCATTCGTTAGTCACCTCCCACCTAAGCACTGGTTTAGGCATATTCCGTTGTATTCAGTCCTCACGACAATCTTATGAAATAGGTAGTAGAGTATTCTTTTTGTGGATGAGGAAAATGAGGCACAGAGTGGGCAGGTGATTTGTCCAAAGTCACACAGATAGTTGTGGCAGCATCAGGCTTTGGACCAGGTCTATCAGTGTCATTCAGAAAAAATATCAGAGTCTGTGCTCTTAACCCCTCTATCTCGCAGCCCCTTTATTTCAGTCAGTATAGCTCTGGAGTGAAAGGGAGCAGGAGGAGGACAGGCAGGGAGTACTGCTTCTGCTTGTCCAGACACGTCTCTGGTTGGCTGAGTGCGTTCCACAGCTAAATGTGAAGTGTATTTGGATTCCTTCCTGTTGTTGAGAATTAACAATGTCTGCAGCCCAACACACAGGGATAACAAGAAATTGAATTTAAAGTGAGAGTTATTTACTACATTGTCCATTGAAATGGAATGTAAATCCTTCTCAGAAAGTTCTTTGTGGCCTCTCTTTTGAGTGGGAATTAGGCCTCAAAAAGACGTGTCAGCAAATCGCAGTTTTGTTCTGATTTAGCTGAAATTTGTTGGCTTTGCTCATAATTTTTGTACCAGGACATCTGGAGACGTTGCCTTTTTTATTTGAAGTTGTGTTTTTCTTTGCTGGCCTAAAACATTAACTTCTGCTTAGATGCAGGATTTCCTAGTTCCTGTCTTCTTTTTCCTCATTTTCCCCTGTTGTACTGACAGCGGGCATTGACCCATGTTTGAGAGAAATGCTTGTGAAACTGAGCTGGTGAGACGTGCTCCAACACTGCCCGTCTAGGGGTCGCTCGGGACTGTTGGCCTGTTCTCGTGAAGGTCTGTGGGGACTTTCAGATCCAGAGTTCTGGTCTTGTTTTTTTTTTTTAAAGATTTTATTCTTTTCCTTTTTCTCCCCAAAGCCCCTTGGTATGTAGTTGTATATTCTTCGTTGTGGGTCCTTCTAGCTGTGGCCTGTGGGACGCTGCCTCAGCGTGGTTTGATGAGCAGTGCCATGTCCGCGCCCAGGATTCGAACTAACGAAACACTGGGCTGCCTGCAGTGGAGTGCGCGAACTTAACCACTCGGCCACGGGGCCAGCCCCTCTGGTCTTGGTTTTATTGCGGAGATTTTAGGCTGAAATTCACTTTGGTAACTGGGTTTAGAAATGTTCTAGTATTTCATTCGGGGGAGGGTGAGCGAGTGTCCTGTCAAAGACAGGGAAACATGGGTGGTGCTGCTTATAGCTCAGCCTGACACTTGAAATTTTAAGGATATCATTTCATTTCTTGAGTTGGACAGGTTTGTGCGTGTGTTTTTGAGGATGACAATATTTAGAAAACAAGAGGATTTTATGTTTTGGATCCTTCCACTCATAGTAGTCTTATACATTCAGTTTATTCTTGAAGTTGATACTGTCGTTTTATAACAACTTTTTTATGAGAATAGAGAAAGTGTGAAAAGGGTGGAAAAGTTTACCTGGGTGTCTACCCACTAGGGCAATTTTATTTATTCCTAGTGGAAAGGGCACTAGATTTGAATTCCACCATTTACCAGATGTTGCTTGGAGAAATCACTTGATCTTTCTGACCCTCAGTTTCCTCACCTGTAAAATGGGCATAAAAGCTTGTAGGGTTTTGAGGAGTGGATAAAATTGCTTAGGACATTCCCTGGCTCATGGCACACCCCCTAGGACGTTAATGGTAGTAGGTTTGTTTCATCTGAGAAGGTGGTCTGGCGTGGTTAAGAGTTTGGGCTCTGGTGCTGGGCTGCTGGGGTTGGAACCTTGGCTTTGCCATTTACTAGCTCTCCCCAGGTAATCATGTAACTTGTGTGCCACAGTCACATATGGTGACTGTGAGGATTAAATGAGGTCAGATATGTAAAATGCCCAGCTCTCAAGGTGTGACAGAAGCCCCATGGTGCCATTTTCTACTTCTTTTGTGTCTCTTGTATGTAACTCTCCTAAAACATTTACTTTTAATAAGGACCCTTTTCTCTTAATGTTGTAGATGACATTTCCCGTGTCAAGCTTTCAATCCAGACCCATTCAACTGATGATTACATCAATGCCAACTACATGCCCGTAAGTGGGGAGATTCTCATAGCACTGGTTTTTTAGGATGAAATCTTCAGAGCTCCTCTTTCTGTGTCTTTGAGATTGAATACATGTTGCTTTCCTTTTTTAGGGCTACCATTCCAAGAGAGATTTTATTGCCACACAAGGACCTTTACCCAACACCTTGAAAGACTTTTGGCGTATGGTTTGGGAGAAAAACATATATGCCATTGTTATGTTGACCAAATGTGTTGAACAGGGAAGGGTAAGTACCTTTTTAAAAAAATTTAATTCATTCACTTTTATTGTGGTGGAAGGGTAAGGATATTCAAAACCATTTGTCTTTTTAAAAATAACACTCCTCCAAACATTAGTACCTCTATTCTTAGAAACTTGTTTTCTGTCTTTGTCTTCTCTGAGAGAAAAGTTTAAAAAAAACCCTATTTTATTGTTACCTTCCTTTGCGGACAAATATCAATGTTCATTATTCATTAAGTCACTGCTGCTGGAGTTAGTAAATAGCAGGAGTTGGGTTAGTGCAGTGAAAAAGCTCCTGGGCCTGGAGCAGGAAGATGCTGCTCACAGGACAGCTCCGTCCTTCATCAGCTCTGTTGATGGTGCACGCCCATCCTGTCTCTAAGCAACCAGCTTCTTCATCTTTGAGATGAGGGATTGGACCAACTCGGTGATTTTCAAACTTAGTGTTTAGCACTGGGACCCTTTCTTTACACAAAATCTCAAACTTATCCGCAGATAAGTTTCAGCAGTTTCTGCCCCACTGTGATGGCCTGGAATCCCACGGCCACTTCCATCAAAGATACGATTTCTTCTGGTGATAAAATCCCATGTTTCCGTAAATGGATCAAAGAGAATTGGTGGCATGCCAAAATGAGAAAATCTGCATATGAGGAATGGGACGCAATGTTGCTCTGTGAATTTTTTCATGTAGGTTCATTACTTGAGGAATTAGGATAGGAGTCCAGTCTCTAAACCAGCGGTCCTCAAACTTTAATGTGCATCAGGACCACCTGGAAGGTGGTTCTGCCTCCAGAGTTTCTAATTCAGCAGGTCTGTCTTGGGACCCGGAATTGTATTTCTGACAATTCCTAGGTGCTGCTGTTTTGGCTGCTCCAGTGTGCTCACTTTGAGTAGCCCTGTCCTAGGGGATAGTGGGAGCCCGTCAGGCAGCATTTCTCTTAATGTTCTTTATATCACTTTAATTTAGCACATATTTGTCAAGCCCCAAGTGTGTATATGGTGGAACCAGGGCCTGGGCCCGGAGGAGGGAAAGGTAACAAAGAGCAGTAAGAGATGGCCCCATCTTCACATTACTTGTGATACAGAAGGTTGGGTTCTGCAGCCACTCCTTTGCATCAGGAGAACAGGCTTTCATGCAAACAAAAGAACGCTGTTTATGAACCCAGATAAACCTTATGGTGCTGTTGAGCCCAGGCCTCGCACATGGAACATTCTCATAAATATCTGTTAGACAAGTGAAAATGATGTAGTTAAATTAATGGAGAATGAGAAGGTGAATTTAGACGGGCCCTTGTTCATCTTAAGTCAGGAGAGAAGTGGATGTTAAGGACTCTGGGTGGAAGGGGAAGGGAGCCAGTGTATTTTCTGCACCAGATACTCCATATGTGTTATTTCTTTCCTATAACAACCCTGTAAGGTGTTATTATTCTATAGTTGGCGAAACTGAGGCTCAGAGAGTTCAAGAACTCTCCCCTATCTTCCTATCTTCTTCCCCACAAGATAGCAACGAAAATCCAGCTGGGCATCCTTAGAGACCAAGCTGGGCATCAACTCCATGGCAGTGATGGAGTTGGAGTCCCAGTTCCATGATGTTTCTTGGAGCAGGGGTCCAGAAACCAGGATCTTTAAACAAATACAGATCCCTGGCCAGAGTCTGAATCTCTGGAGGCGGGACCCAGGCATCTGTTTTTAAAGCAAAACAGACCTCCCGGGTGAGTCAGGTAATCGATCAGGTTGGAAATCACCTGCAGTGGGGCACTCCTCAGGAAGGTGTGTGCATGTGTGCGCGTGCACGTTTTAAGTCATTTGCCAAATGGGGGTTCAGATATTCTTGGGAGCAGCTGTTTCCTGATTTTTGTCTCTGTTCACATCTCCTCACCGACTTTCTAAAAATCAAAGACCCCAAAATGGTTTCATTTGCTCCTCTTTGTTGGTGTCTGTATTTGTATTGCAACTCATGTGTCTCTAAAAGAACTGTGGAAAATTCTCATTTCTTCTAGCTGCTGGGGGTTGTGGGTCAATCAGAGAAGTTTAGTTCGGTGAACAGTTGTGGATCGGCTACTGTTGAGGCTGAAGGAAGCTGGGTGGCACTGTGTCCCCTGTGAAGGAACAGCCACTCTAAATCAATTTTCATGCAGAAATGTGGGCTCAGTTTGGGCTAGAAATTCTGACTTTTCAAGAGAATCCAGAAATCTGGATTTGTGTGAGAAAACTCCCTATTTTAAAAGAGTTCGCAGTAATTGTAAATGATAAACATATAAATTGTAAATTAAAACAATTCTAAGAGTCAAAACAGAAGCCAACTAAGGGACTGTTCAGTTTTCAATATCTGGTCTCTCTTGTGAGGCTGTAGTGATGGCAGATGGCGTGATCTGAGTCTTTATGTAAGAATCCCCTTTTATTCTAGACCAAATGTGAGGAGTACTGGCCCTCCAAGCAGGCTCAGGACTATGGGGACATAACTGTGGCAATGACGTCAGAAAGCGTTCTCCCGGAATGGACCATCAGAGACTTCACAGTGAAAAATGTAAGTAAGATGTCGAGATGGATAGGTCTCTCATAAAATTACTATAAATTAACTTTGGGGTGAGTCTTTTTAGATTGATGTTAGCCCATTTTTTTAATGCATCAGAAAAATATTTTTGCTCTCTTCTTTGCTGAATACAACAATCCGTATCTACATACCCTAAGGCATATCTCCTCTAAGCTGCGTCTACTCTAAGGCAACCCTTTAGAAGCTTTATGTATTAAGGAGAATTTCATAAGTTGTTCTTGAATAAAATGAATCTTAAGAGCGTGGCTCAGCATCAGTAACTCATTTCCTTTCACTTCCAGGTGACTGACTTATAGGATTTTTGTTACCAACAAAGACCCTTTTGGATTATTTGGTTGGAAATATGGCGTCAGGAGTGGAAAATTGCTGTCGGGAGCAGTTTAGGATAACAGTTATGTCAATAGGGTTCCAGGGCTCATACACATGGCCTCCCTTCCCCGTAAAGTTATGAAAACAAATCCAATTAAGTTGTGTAGGCGTTCTAGGAAGTCAGTGTCCTTTTTCTTTTTTTAAGGCTGTTTAAAAATAGAAGCAATATCGTGAAGCAACATTGCTATCTTTTGATGGGTGTGTAAATTGGCATAACCCTTTGCAGTTTATATCGAGGGCATAAAAATGTCCATTCCTCTTTGATCTGGTGGTTCCAAGTTTGAGAATCTGTCCTAAAGCGGCAATCTGAAATATCGGAGAAGGTCTATCATTCAGTAAGGTGAATCTCAGCATTATTTATAATGGAGGGAAAATTTGGAAACCATGCAAATACCTAGCTTTCAGAGAATGGATAACTAAACTGTCGATTATCTAGTCACTGTATCATTATTCAGCTATTAGAAATGATGATTATGTAGACCGCATAATTACCATGAGAAGTTAGGGTGTAATTAAGTGAAACATACAAGGAGACAAAATTTTATGCATATTATGAAAAGTACATAAAAGAAAAGCCTGGAAGTGGGTTCAGAGGAGTTGAATCTTATGGGGGGGTTGGTAGGTTAGGTTCTAGTTTTTGAGAATTATCCTTGATTTTATAAATCATGGATAGAGTACAGTAAATTAAGTATTAACTCTTTACTAATTGCTGTGTCTCTAAGGCTCTGACCTCAATTAATATTTCAGTTCCTCTCCTGGAGATGCTGTCAAAACTATTATCATGAACTGAATTGGCTGCATAAATAATGCAATTCATAATAGTTGAGAATCCCTTACAAAGTCATGCTTATTTCTGTAGATTTCACCCATTTTAAATGGACTGGTTGCTTTCACTGCTTGGCGTTTACCCTTGTGGAGGGGAATTGAGGGTGGAATTGTCCACATCATTTAAAAAAATTACTGTTACTACTATTATTATTTTTTATTAACTAAACTCCAGACTTTATTCAATTTCATGTTTTTCCACTAAAGCCCTTTCTTGTTCCAGGATACACTCTAAGATACTACATGGCGTTTAGTAAAATATTACTTTTTAGTTACACAAAATGCAAGAATATATTTTCCTTTTTATTTATTTGTTTATTTTTATTTTTTTGAGGAAGATTAGCCCTGAGCTAACTGCTACCAATCCTCCTCTTTTTGCTGAGGAAGACTGGCCCTGAGCTAACATCCGTGCCCATCTTCCTCTACTTTATATATGGGACGCCTACCACAGCATGGCTTTACCAAGCAGTGCCATGTTCACACCCGGGATGCGAGCTGGCCAACCCTAGGCCACCAAAGCGGAATATGCACACTTAACCACTGTGCCACCTGGCTGGCCCCTGTACTTTCCTTTTTAAAAGTGGGAACATAACAGATAGAGCTAAAAGTTTCCTTTGACTGTCCCCCCTAATCTGGACCCCTTGGCCCTTTTGCTGAGATAATGCTGAAAAGACTGACTTCCCCCCCGACCCCTGTCATATCTCTCGTGGCTGGTTACTTTCTTTGGATGACTACTTTTGGTTAAATTTCTGAATGTTAATGTTTGTGATGATGAGACCCTCTCCTCTCACTCTCCCCTCACTCTTCCTTTTTTTCCTACTGTTTTTCACGTTTTGAATAATGTGAATGGGCTGCTTTTATAATGTAGACACATTTTTAAAAAATAAATAAGCGTCAACAGGTAGCTGTCATAAAGGAGATGGAAATGCCTGCAGTCCGGATGGAGGTCAGTGCCCCAGTGTGGGCTTGATGAGTACAGTTGAATCAGGGACAGGAATGCTCCAGCCTGGGCAGAGTTCTGGTAATTAGAGGCACATGCTTCGGTCTGTGATGGGAAACCAGTCTGTGTAATAACTCACTCTGTTACGACAAGGTCCACTTGCTGTTGTCTGGCTGATGTTGAAATGGGTGGTTTCTTTGGGGGGGTCCTTTCTCAGTTCTAAATATTTACTTGGTGCTTGCGAGTTGCCTCTCACTTATTAGATTCTCTGGAAGATTGGAACTATGAAGACTGATTATCATAATTGTATGTGTGTGATTCACGTTTGGTGTTTTGGTCGGTGACGTTCCCGGGTGGGCTCAGGGATGGGGTTTATGAAGCTCTAAGGAGGTGAAGGTGTAAGAATGTGAGTAGGTTATTGACAGGCAGCTTGGCGGGTGGGGAAGAGATCTGAACTCAGAATCAGAGGATGAGGGACTTCAGCTACGTCTGAACTGAGTGTTGGGGAAGTCACTTCACTTGTTGGAACCTTTGCTGCCTCGTCTTTAGAGGGCCTAACAAACCCTCCCTCTTGGGCATATGATGAGGATTTGATGAGCATGTTAAGGTGTGTGTAAACACTTTCTCAGCTGTTGTACTAACGTGAAATTCTCATTTTTAGTAGTAAGCACTCCCGTGTAGCTGCCTTTCAGCTGCCCCGTGCAGTTCAGCATTCAAGGACTGCTTGATTTCACTTGCCTTTCTGATGTTGTTAGGGAGCCTTTCTCTCTGGATCTGACTTCTTTTTTTGGCTTTTAGATCCAGACAAGTGAGAGTCACCCTCTGCGACAGTTCCATTTCACCTCTTGGCCGGACCACGGCGTTCCTGACACCACTGACCTGCTCATCAACTTTCGGTACCTTGTTCGTGACTACATGAAGCAGAGTCCTCCCGAATCGCCAGTTCTGGTGCATTGCAGGTATGCAGATGGCGCTCTGTGTGTCACAGATTTCAAACATAATTACAGATATGGGCACTTTTGGAAAGCAAACAGAGGAGGAAATACAAAAGGAATTTACGAATTCAGGACAGGTCTGGATAAGGGACTTATTCCCTAGGTCCTGAGACTTTTGAACAGGGGTTGGCAAACTATAGGCCATGGGCCAGGTCTGGTTGGCTGCTTGAATTTTTTTAAACCATAATGTATTTTAATTTATTTCTTATTTGTAATATTTTCTTGTAAAATATTTCAACCTTACAAAAATATAGAGAATAATAATAATTTAATAAAGCATGACGTGAAGCCATATCTGTTCCTTTTGTTCATATTACATTACAGATGTAATTGAATTCTCTGCTTACTCGTCTCCTATCCTATTCTCCTTCCTACATAGGTAAACGTGGTCCTGAAGTTGATCTTATCATTCCCTTGTGTGCTTTTATATTTTATTACATATATGTGTATCTCTATGGATTTATGTAGCTTTAAACTTTTGCCAGACTTTATGATCGATACATCGTTCTGCAACCTGGTTTCTTCATTCAGCGTTTGGTTTGGTGTTTAACAATGTTGAAACACATAGCTCCAGCCCATTTTATTTACGTATTTAAAAGTATTTTTTTGACATACAAAAAACTGTACATAATTAATGTATTCACCTTGATGAGTTTGGAGATAAATATCCACCCATGAAACCGTCACCATGATCTCTTTAGCTGCCTATTTTTATAAATAAAGTTGTATTGGAACACAGCCATGCTCATTTGTTTACATAGTGTCCATGGTTACTTTCATGCTACAAAGGCAGAAAGTGACCATTTGGTCTGCAAAGTTGAAGATATTTACTATCTGGCTCTGTACAGAAAAAGTTTGCCTCTCCCTCTTCTAGAACAGAAAGAAATTAGCTTTAATGCTAAAGGAATTAATTTAGGACAGAAGAAAGGAGGGGCTTTGTCGCTCTATGGGGAATAAGTTGATGAAACCTGCCATTCCAGGTTATGGTGGCAACTTGGGTTGGACTGCAATTCAGGAAGCTCCAGGAAGGTGTTTTATTTGTGGCATTTGACTCAAAAGTACTTTAGGACTTGGCCCTCAGTCCCAAGCTAGTGTAGTCTGACTTACTGAGGTTTCATTAGAGCAAATGTCTAATGATCCTGGGCATTCCCCTCAAAGCCTGACAGTGGAGGAGAGCAAGATATACGTACAACTGGGGAAATCTGAGAGTTTACAGGAGAAGTAACCCACAGTGATGTGCTCATTTTCCTGTCTTTCAGTGCCGGGGTTGGAAGGACGGGCACTTTCATTGCCATTGATCGTCTTATCTATCAGATAGAGAATGAGAACACTGTGGATGTGTACGGGATTGTGTATGATCTTCGAATGCACAGGCCTTTAATGGTGCAAACAGAGGTGAGGCCAAGATCTGTGTTGGGCAGTCCACCGTCCCATCCGTTTTTAAAAGGTTGCATCGTATCACACACTTGAATTAAAATATTTCACCTTTCCAAATCTTCCTGGCTCTCAGCTGTGAGGTAACACTGGATTTCTTTAAGATCCTAAACTGACTTGAGTTGAATTACCTGATATAGTGCCTCAGTGGTGCTGATATGAGCAATGGAGCTACAAACCGAGATGGTATCAGGATCTCTACCTCTCAGCCATGACTCATCAAATAATCTTAGGAAATCTCTGAACTTTGGCTCCCAGGTTTTAAACTCATAGAACTGGTATTTTCACTCTTTGTTTCTAAGAAAGTCTGACCATCTTTAACATACACTAATGAAAGGGACTTATCAAATATTAACGATATGAAACAGCATCATGCTGCTTTAAGCATTAAGGCAGCCATGTGCCCTCACCCAGCCTTGTGAATGTTAAAAATGTCCATTAGCATAGCTAAGAGAAGATGGCTGGCCGATTGAGAAAACGAAGCTTGATGTCTGTGGTGCCATTTGTGTAAGACTGCTGGATTTGGCTTTCCCTGAAATGTTGCTGATAAACATTGTTTTTGAGGCGTGTTGAGAAACAGCCTTCCTCAGCGCTGTAGGCTGAATGCTCCTGGGCCAGGATGAGAGCAGAATATTAATTTTGCATCAGACTGTCGCCCTGTACCAATTTAGAACTCTATGAATATGCGCTGTGTTTTTGAGTCTAGCAGGGAATGTTCTGGAGGCCTGGGTACATTGTGTGCTGTGGGGTGAGCGGTGGTGGCTGTGGTGGAAAGAGTGGAATTCACCTCTTGTGTTGGTCAGAAGAGAGATTTTCTTTTTTCTGCTGTGATGATATAGAGTAGTAGTTCTCAATCTTTTATCTCTTGAGAAACACAGAAATCTTATACCTGCAACAAATTCTTTTCTTGTCCCTTTTAAAAAATGTTGAAACTAATAAAACTTGTTCATATTAAAAAACTTAACAGTATAGGATCATATAGAATATATTTTTCTCTTTTACTTTTTCTTCTCCAATCCCACTTCATAGAGGTAGCCAACGTTTACAGTTTGTGTATATCTTTGTCTTCCTTATGTACATCTGTAGAAAAACACATGTACACACACACAGTATTTTTTAAAAATTGGATCCTATTTTATATATAATGCTGCCCTGTAATTTTTTTTCTCTTACAGCATCATGGATATCTTTCTGTGTCAGCATATACGTCTTCTTCCTCTTTTGTTTTTCTTTTTTTGAGGAAGATTAGCCCTGAGCTAACATCTGCTGCCAATCTTCCTCTTTTTGCTGAGGAAGATAGGCACTGGGCTGACATCCGTGCCCATCTTCCTCTACTTTTTTTTTTTTTTTTTAAGATTTTATTTTATTTTTTTTCCTTTTTCTCCCCAAAGCCCCCCCCCCAGTACACAGTTGTATATTCTTCGTTGTGGGTCCTTCTAGTTGTGGCATGTGGGACGCTGCCTCAGCGTGGCTTGATGAGCAGTGCCATGTCCACGCCCAGGATTCGAACCAACGAAACACTGGGCCGCCTGCAGCGGAGCGCGCGAACTTAACCACTCGGCCACAGGGCCAGCCCCCATCTTCCTCTACTTTTTATGTGGGACGCCCGCCACAGCATGGCTTGCCAAGCGGTGTGTAGGTCTGCCCCTGGGATCCAAACCAGCGAACCCCAGGCTGCCGAAGCAGAACATGCAAACTTAACCACTGCACCACCGGGCCGGGCCCTCTTCTTCCTCTTTCTAATGGCTACCTGCACAGTCTGATAGGCTTGCCTGAAGGGTGGTCTCTGCCTAGCTCTACCCCGATCATCCCCCTTAGCCCATCCTCTCTGTTGAGAACCACAATTTACTCCTTATTCCGCACATCCTCACTAGCCAAAACTTTCTGTTGTTTGAATGTACCTGTGGTTTATTTCCTCTACATTCTCTCTTTGCTCCTCCCCAAGATTCTGATGTTTCTCCTTGGGGAGGGGAGGTGTGGGGAGTCTCCCATGTGGTTGAGAATCACTGATGATGAGAATCTTGTTCTCTGTGGTTTGAGATTTCACCAGAATCTTGTACCTCTTGACACGTCTTAACTTGAAGTGTTCACTGGTGGGTGGGGTCGGGGGGTTGGTTATCTGTTTGAAAATAACCTTGGGTGCTACTCTCTGGAACCTGTGCTCATTTGCTCTCTCCCTTTTCTTTTCTAACAGGACCAGTATGTTTTCCTCAATCAGTGTGTTTTGGACATTATCAGATCCCAGAGGGACTCAAAAGTAGATCTCATCTACCAGAACACAAACGCAATGACAATCTATGAAAACATTGCCCCAGTGAGCACGTTTGGGAAGACAAATGGTTACATCGCCTAATTCCAAAGGAAAACCTTTCTGGAGTTAACCAGAACATCACACCCACAGCAAAGGAAAATGCCCCGATGTTGACATGTTTTTATATGTCTAATAACTTAATTCTTTGTTCTGTTTTGTTAGAACTAACTTGAGGGCGTGAAGCTGCACACGTAAAACATGACCGATGAGAAGTTGGGGCTGTCGGGGGCTGTGGATGGGTGGTGAGCACATCAACTGTATTCCTGATTACCAATGGGATGAGTTCACTTTTTGTTTTTTCTTAAGAATTACAGAACACCAGGAAAAGTGAGCTGTGATTTTCTTTTTTTTTCAAAATAGATTCTTTTTTTAAAAAAAGACTATTTTATATGATTCACATGCTAAAGCCAGGATTGTGTTGGGTTGAATATATTTTAAGTATCAGAGGTCTATTTTTACCTACTGTATCTTGGGATCTAGCTGATGGAAAGTACATAATTGTGGATGATGATCATGTAGGGAGGGGTACGTGGTGCCTCTTCTGCTTGGGTTTTCTATTTGAACATGTGCCTTTTCTGAATTATGCTTCCACAGGCAAAACTCAGTAGATATCTATATTTTTGTATTGAATCTCATAATTGGAATATACAAAATATTTAAACAGTAGCTTAGTATCAGAGGTTCAGCCTTCTCAGTAACATTCCTGTTGATCAGAGGAGGCCCTTGCCCCACTTCCCACACCCCCATTTTGTGCTTTATTCTCTTTCCTTTCCCTCCCAGTTTTCCCCAAAGACACCTCTGTTGGCTACATTTTCAGCCCCTTGGTTGAGTGAGCGTGGGAACTAAATATCACCCTGAGAATCTCTGGGGGGGGCGAAGCAGAGGGACCCTATAGTGATGTAATGTCCATTTCTTCTCCCTGCGTTGTTTTTTTTCTCAATTCTGTATTTGTTAAGAAGGATTATTTAAAGGTGCAATATGTGACTTAGTGATTCATGAGGCTCTAGGTTTTTAGTAACGTTTTACTCAGGTTGGCAATTTATGTGTCTGTGTGTCAGTGTATATGTGTGTGTGTTTTTAAAAGTGTGGCGATCTGTGAACACTTCAGTGTGAAAACAGTGTCAAATCAATTCCTCCTTCCTCGAAGTCCACTGGCTTTAGTTTGTATCTGCAGTGACACATATTGGTATCTACTGTATAAATATATACTAAACTCTTAAAACAGTCATTCCTTTGAATTGAGGTGTACAAAGTTTGAATTTGTATCAAAGGTGTAATTATTATTTTTAAAACCTCTTTTCACTATACTGCTGCTGTAATTACTTTGATTTTTTTAATGTAGATTAATTTTTTTTTTTTTTGCTTCAGGTGTGTATCCACCAAGAATTTCAGAATTTATGTGGATTTATTTTATTGGTACATAATCTGTCAACTTCTCAAGGCATTAACATGAAAGGATTTGTTTCTTTTTATTTTATATTGTGGCTCAGGTTATATTTTGAAGAAGTTTGAGTTTTCCTCCAATAGGAATGAAGTATACAAGGTTTTATGAAGGAATTACGAAGTCCCTGGAGTCCTGTGGCTGTTTTCCACAGTAATAAATCCTGCTGTAAACTTAGGACACTGTGTCCTATTGAAAATGAGAGCGGGGTCTTCTCTGAGGGTCCCGGTCACTGTTGACCTGTGGGAGCCCCTCTCCTGACCCTGCCGTGCTCCTCAGCTCGCCGGCACTTTGCTAACTGACTGGACGTGGTCGTGGGTGTTTAGGGTTATGAAGGGTGAACCACAACGTACTGAAAGCCCTTGATTTGGTTCAGAGGGTTCATGCTATACGTCTTGTCTCCCTTTCCCTTTGAGGTACTTAAAGGATTAAAAGGAGAGGTGGTGAAAGTGGTGTCACGTTTTGGGAGAACCTTACTTTCCAAATGGAAATTGCACTTTTTGCTGAAGCCTTTGCTCTCTTTGGTAGTGTGAGGCCCTTAAAGGAGTGGGTTGGCCAGGCCATGTTGGGCCCTCTTGACTCAACTTCGGAGGGGCCTTTGGCTCTGTAGGTCTGAATCAGGGAGGCCATGCCGTCCTGGGGTGTTGAGTGAAGCTGGGTTTGGGCAGATTGCTTCCAAACCTTCACGCTAGTCTGCCCTTCAATGCATGCAGATCTTGGAGAGTTCCCTAACTTCATTTGGAGGCCCTGTTCAGGCAGCAGTTCTGTGGGCCACACCCTTCCCCACTCACAAACCACTGTGATGGATGCCTAGGTGTCAAATCCCCGTAGATGCTCTGCCCTGTCCTGCCACATTGGCTGCCATGGAGAAGTCGGAGGGAAGAACTCGGCTCTAAAAATTCCTTTAAAAGATTAAAACAACAATAATTATAAACATATTGTATAAAAACACACAAAAACAGAAACCCTCCTCTCCTCCATTTGGTACAAGCTTGGGAAACGGGCAGCAGCCCCACGAGCCACTCTTGGACGTCATTCCCACTCCCGGGAGGAAGGCTTGTGGTGGAGAGGTCTGGATTCCAAATGGGCAGGTCACAGGAAGGTCATGATACTTCTCTGCATCCTGAAGAGGGCTGGGGACAGGGCCAGTGGGGTGGTGAGGGTATTTATAGCACAGTGATTGAAAAGGGAAGATTGATGTGTAAATATAAAGGACACATGGGCTGGGGGTTGGTCATAGAAAAGAGAAGGTGTTTTTGAGCTCCTTTTCCAAACCCTCCAGGAACAATAAAGTAGAATGTGAGGAGTCCAGTGGAATTGAGGGGATGGTGTGATCGCCATTGCTTAATATTTGACAGTTGCTTACAGGAAAGCAGTCAGATTAGTTGAAAAGACTAAAGATTGGTGGTTAGTTAGTTTGAGGGATATGGCCCGCTGATTTCTTCTCTCAAGAGCAAGGACCTTTTGCCTCCAAAGTCAAATCTAGTGACGATTGGCACCAGAAGGAAATGACATTTGGGGTCTGTTCACTGTGGCCATGTAGTGACCTCCAGCTAGACTGTGGCATCGTTGACTCCACTGGATTTGGACTCCATCAAGTCAGAGGCTCCTGGGGGATGGGGGCCAGCCATGCAGCTGACTCACGTTCGCTTTTCATCTGGGATGGAAAAGCCTGGTTTTCTGTTGAAATGCTTGATTGCGCTTATTGAGCTAACACGTCTTGGTGACTGATGCTGATTTGCCTCGAAAGTTCTGAGTTTTCAGACTGTGTAGCAGCCGAGTGTTCCACATACTGTAGCTGTTCCCCCTGGGGGCACATACGGATAGGACGTGTTGATGTGGACTCTAAAACTGTAATTTTCTTGTAACTATTTTGGAATGATGCATATTTCTAATGTTTGTTATACTTGTACAGAGTATTGCTGTCGGTTGCTTTTTTTGGTTTGTTTTTTAAGGAAAAAATGGCCTGAAAAAATTTTTTAAAAGGACTTACAAATACCAAATACAAAAAATGTCAACACATTGTGCTTTGGTTTGTTTCCTTTCTTTCCGTCTTTACTTTGTGTCCACACCATTTCATCTACCAAGCAGCTTACCCGCCTGCATTCAACTGGGGCATCCTTAACAAAAACAGGTTTTCTTTGGGGATTTTCCACATTGAATTAGTTTATCAGGGCTGCCATAACAAAGTACCACCGACTTGGGGCTTAACCAATAGACATTTGTTTTCTCACAGTTCTGGAGGCTGGAAGCCCAAGATGAAGGTGTCAGCAGGGTTGGTTTCCTCTGAGGCCTCTCCTTGGCTTGTCTTCCCTCTGTCATCTCATGGTCTTCCCTCTGAGTGTCAGTGTCCTAATCTCCTCTTCTTATAAGGACACCAGTCATGGGATTACAGCCCACCCTAATGACCTTATTTTACCTTAATTATCTCTTTAAAAACCCTGTCTCCAACTATATCCACATTCTGAGGTACTAGCGGTTAGGACTTTAACTTGAATTTTGGGGGGACATAAGTGAGCCCCAAACACGCATCCAGGGTGATTAAGTGAAAAGGAGACTTGGAAGAAGTGGGTGTGCATCCAAGATGGGGCTGTGTGTGCTCTCAGAGGGTCAGATGTGTGGGTCTGCAGACGGATAGACACCCACTTGGTGGTGGCACACATGCCTTAGGCAAGTCCCCAGGAGTTTTAGAGGGTTTTCTCGTAATGGATTTGGGGAATCCCATTACGCCTTGATGCACACTCTAAGCAGACTAGGATGATTTTGTTTTGAGATCTCTCTTGTTCCTCTTGCCTGAGACAAATTAATTAGTCCCTTCAACAGAGATGGATTGAGTGCCTACTGTGCACCAGCCACCATACCTCAGCGCCTACCATGCACCAGCCACTGTACCTCAGTGCCTACTGTGCAGCAGGCGCTATACCTCAGTGGTTGAGGATTCAAAGGTGAGCAAAATGGGCAAAACTCTCTGCCCTTATGGAGCTCACGATATGGAGCCAGACAAACAACATGGGTGAATAAAATCTTTATTATGTTTGTGAAAATATGGAGAAAAATAGCATTTCACACCCTGATGCCCCAACTCGTCATTTTCACAGGACAGGCAGTGTGGTTACACCGTGTCAGGAGGAAGCTCTCTGCAATGTTCTCCATACAATCCCTGCTCTGGGGGAAAATGAAACAGAGAGACTGTACAGCTGCAGTGCACGCTTCTCCGTCCCGTCCGGGAGACTAAGATGGACGCAGCGGAAGTTCTGCCCATAAGAAGTGGACAGTCCAGAGGGAGGGGCCCAAAACATGTGTGATGCAAATGCAAAACGAACCCCACAAAATACCAGAGGAGGCTTAAAGGAACAGGTCACAGGGATCTCAGAAGAATGAAGAGGGGTGGTATCTGAGCTGAGTCTTAAGTGGAATTTGAGCAGGAGGATAAAAGGTGGGGAAGGTTTGGGGTGTGGAAGCGCGTGCTTTGCCTAGAGAATGGTGAGTGCTTCCCGGTGACTGGAATCTGAGCAGGCGGGGAGGGTGCGGTGAGGCTAGGTGAGGTGAGGCTGATGACCCTGAAAGGTAATAGCTCTAGGGTTCTGTGTGTTGTTGACCGAAACTGTCTAACCTTGAAACACTATACCAGGCATGTGCGTGTGTGCATGCAGACATACACATATATGCACGTGTAAAGACAGGCACAGATACATAAATACACACACACAATTTTACCTTCACTGTTTTCTTTGGAAGCCAGCCCTGGTGCTCTAGTGGTTAAGATTCAGCACTCTCACCACTATGGCCCCGGTTCATTTCCTGGTCAGGGAACCACACCCCCCCATCTGTCAGTTGTCATACTGTGGTCGCTGCATGTTGCTGTGATGCTGAAAGATCTGCCACTGGGACTTCAAATACCAGCAGGGTCCCCCATGGTGGAGAGGTTTCAGTGGCACTTCCAGACCAAGACAGACTAGGAAGAAGGACTTGGCCACCCGTTTCCGAAAAAATTGGCCATGAAAATCCTATGAATAGCAGGGGAGCATAGTCTGATAGAGTGCTGGAACCACGTGAGAGGCGGGCACAAAAAGACGGGGCAGGGTCTGCTCTGCTGTACACAGGGTCAATAAGAGTCACTAGTACTAACAACAAGAATTTCCTTTGATGGAAACTGCATGGTGGTCACAAGGGTGACCATGATAGGGTGGAAGGAAGGACACCATCAGACTCTTGGCTGGTTAGTAGGAGTAAAGGACATAATTGACCACACAGAACAGCACTTTCAGTGGGACACGTTTCCCTAGCCCTTAGGTCACCCCAGGTTCTCGGTGGTCATCGACAGTGGGCAGAGCAGGCAGGGTCCTATCAGAGCTTTCCAGGAGTTGGCCTTGACCTTCTCTCTCCCTCTCCCCTCACTCCCTTTCTTTTTCTCTCTCTCTTTATCTCCCATCCTCCTCACCTCTCCCAACCATCTGGAGACTAAAGCTAAATGCTGGCCTGCTTTCCAAGTACTAAAGAGCTAGTAACAATTCCAGCACATTCCTGAGTTGTCTACTGGGAATTACTGGGTGAAATAAGATCAGTTTTCTAGGCACGGCATCCCTCAGTATGTCCACATCTGCCCAAGGTCTGTTGCTGTATATACTTTTCTGATCAGGCAAAAAGCACAGATCTGGAGCATATCACAAATTAATTATTACAGACAGAAATACTCCCCTGACTGAGGATAGAAAGTATTTTGCTTTTAAAAGGATGCTTGTGGATATACTGTGGTACAGAGAATGGTATGCATCCAAAAGTTAGGAGGCCCGAGCGTTAGTTCTTCCCTACCCAGAGTGACTGAGTGGAAATCACAGAACCTTTCTACTTTTGATAAGCATTAGGTGGCAGAGAGCTGAAGGTTGTCCAGAGTGTTGGGAGTGCAGCATCTGTGGGTTGTTGAATACACAGCCCTGCGTGCCTGAACAGATGTGGGCACGGGTTGACGTCTCGTTAAAGCTATTAACTTAAAAAACAAATTCGCCTGTTATTTTATCCTCAAAATGAGTTTATTCAAGAACAGCCAAAAGAATTGTAGTTTGGGATGTGCATGCTATGGCAACCCACAGGCAAATGTGGAAAACAAAGGAGGGGAGCTGCCTTTATAGAGAAAAAGTAGGAGGTCGGGCTGTTCTAAAGGTAAGTCCATTGGGGGAAAGTAACAGCTCAAGGTGACAATAACTTCTCATTGGCTGGGCTGTGGCTGGGTGGAGAGAGAAGTCTTCCTTCAGTAGTAAAGTCGTTTTACTTCCTGTCTAAGATGGGAGCCTCCATTTCTTCCTGTTTGGTGTAATTGATCTTGTGTGCTAAGACGTGAGAGCTCCCCCTACAGGCCTTCTCAACTCCATTTAACTGAAGTTTTTAAAAATTGATTTCCACAAAGCTGAGGAAGTTTAGAGACTTAGGTCCCTCAGAGGACATCTTCCCATGGGTGTTTTGAGCCCCAATGTCATCTGGCCATCACACCTTCAACTGGAAAGTGTCCAGGGGTCCACCCTCATGTCTTGGACCCTACTGCTCAGCAGTGAGGGGGCTTGAGGGTAAGTTCAGTAAGAAACAAGGTGACAGGTAAATTTTCTGTACAAATGAATTTGGTTATAATTTTGATGCAATAATATGCTGAGACATGCAGCATATTGCCTGGGACCTATGAAACACCCAATAAGTGGTTGCTATTCATTTATCAATTTAAATTTTTATGGATCACCTACTGTGGGCTGGCAGTGGGCTCTGGGTATGTACATTTGTGTACAAGACTGGCATGATCACTGTCCTTGTGGAATTTAAGGGCCTATGGGAGAGACAGGAAATTAAAAAAAAAAAATTGAACATGTATTGCTGACACATTGCAGCTAGAATGAGAAGGCAGCCGTGGAGGAAGTGTACAGAAGGGACAGAGTGTGCCGACACCCTGAGGCAGGAAGGAGTCTGGCCCTTTTGAACAACAGAAGACTGCGGTCCCTGGAGCATAGCTGGAGAGGGAGCTGAGAGCACAGTATGAAGCCAGAGAGGGAGTCAGGGGTCTGATCGTGTCAGGCTTCATAAGCCACAGTAAAGAGATGGGACGTTAGTCTATGAGCAGTGGGAGGCCATCAGGGTTTCCAAAGGGAGTGTTTTGACTGTGCTGGTCACTGTGTGGGGAATGGATTGTAGGAGGGAAGACTGGAAACAGGGAAAGCTGTCAGAGGGTCTGGTTTAGCAATGGTTTTGGAAATAACCGATGGTAACTTGGTGAGGTTGGTGGCAGTAAAGATGGAGAGATGGTGAATTGGAGGTATATGATGACGGTGGGCTGATGCCCTCCCCAGCTTTCTTGTCTTTGACTCAAGACAAGGTTGTGCAATTTGCTTTGGACCGTGGATGTGGGCAGAAGTGACAGTACCATTTCTGAACATAGACCATAAGGAACTTTGCTTGTTTTGTTCACCCTCTTGTACCTCAACCACTGCCATAGAAGGAAGCTCCCCTGGGCAGCTGCTGCCCGATGAGCCTGGGCCCAGAATGAATACCTGTGGAGCAGAGCTGTCCCAGCCAAGCCCAGCTGGGCTCTACCTTGGAGCAGAGACACCTGGCCCAGCCCTGCCCAGGTTAGCTGGCCCCTGGCTGACCTGCACGTCCATGACAATAATTTATTCCTTGAGAATCTATGACTTTGGGGTCATTTATTATGTAGCATTTTTGTGGCAATAACTAAAACACTTAGCTTCACAGCAAGTAATTGGTAGAAGTGGAATTGAATCAACTCCAATGCTTGGATCCTAGTCATCGCTTTCAACAGTAGATGATTGTATTTAAAACAGTCAATTTCTTAACACAGAAAATTAGGAGCAGAACCTGGAGATATCTATCACATGAAAGAAAACAGTCAGGTTTTGCCCACACGTGTACCCTCGAGGACTTCGCTGAAGATCGTGATGTAGTTAGCGCTGCTGGGCTTGCTGCTCAGAGCCATCACTTGGGCTGGGGGAACAGATCAACAGTCTTCATGCTCTGATTCAGGC